TATCTTCTGCGAGAGGTTCATCTTCTGGCCAATTATCTTGAGATGAATGTGGCATTGGAAAATAGTTTGCATCCGCATCACACATATCAAATTCCCTATCCGCAATTCTGCTCTCTCTAATGAAATTATGGAGAGCCATGCACGCAACAATTATTCTTGTTTGTTTTCGGGCGGAAAATTTTGGCATATCCAACAACATCCTCCATTTCATCTTCAAAACTCCAAAAGACCGCTCTATGTCATTTCTAACTTGGGAATGTGCATGGTTAAAGGTCTCTTTCATACCTTGTGGCAGCGGGCCTTCTTGCCATTGCTCCACATGGTACCTTGTACGCCTATATGGTGAAAGATAACCTGGACGGTTTGGGTACCCCGCATCAACTAAGTAATACTTCCCTACAGCTTCAGGTACATAAAGTGACATATATGACCAACGAAAATTGAAGAAATACTTGCATGACAGATAGAATAGTTTACCTAGAGGTGGATGCGGAAATTTGTCACCATATTTGGTCATTGCATCGTTGAACACTCTCATATCATGTACTGACCAAGGCCATCCCGCAAGCACAAAGGTAAATCTCATGTCGAAATCATAAATAGCAAGCATATTCTGTGAGGTTTCGTTGTGTCTGTTAATATGCTGAACCACCTTACTTTTTGGCACCACAACCGGTATATGTGTCACATCTAATGCTCCTATATAGTCATTGAAGTGTGGCCAAAAATCTGGATTTTCTAAGCATGGGTGCACTGTAGAAAATTCAAGGTCCTTTGGATTAATAATGTTAGCTGCTAGCTTGAGGACACTTCTCAAAACTCCGTCAAATGTGTGACTTACTGTCTCTAAGGATCTAACAAAACGATCCTCAACTTGCCTAACTGACTGTGGTGTGCCAACAATCCACAAAAACATAGCTAAAGCCTCTACCGATGACATTCTTGATGTTGACTGCAAACCATATGAGTGGACCAACGTATTATGCAGCCTATTAAATAAAGGTCTCTCAACCCTAAACATGTTGTAGCAAGAGTTATCACGAGCTAGTGTCCTCTGAACCCATTGCAATCCGGATTCACCAGCCACCCTTCTTGGTAGTTTCACAAAGTATTTGTCGAAGTACATACCGAACATAGGGGCAACCTGCAGAATCAATTCCTAGGCCGTCTTCAAATTGTTGAGGGCCATCGACAGAAGCTCATCCTCACTTGATGATGTGCTGCCTCCATCATCACTTGATGCATCACCGCCTTCCTCATTTGTCCATTGCCCTCATCATGTTTCAACAAATGTAACAAATAGTCAGAACATTAATCGACAAGGAATGTTCAATTAAGCCCACAAAATGGAATCATCAAAAATCACAGATTCATCACAGCACCATATAATAGGTTCATCACATGAAAAGATAAAAGGTTCAACACAGGATACAAATAATACATTCATCACAACACATAGATAATATGAGCCTAGAGCCACAAAAGGATTAGTCCATCACAGGTAATAGTTCCTAACTAAGACATATTGTTGTCCCTGCACCATCTCTTCAAGTAATTGAGCCTTGCGGAGGCACTGGGCAAACCGCAGAAGAATTCCCGCTGGAAAGGATCTTGGAACATCTTGCCCATTGCATACACCTCAGCACTATCATGCTCTATCCCACACTCAAAAGCCAGCTCTTGACACTTCTTCACTGAAAAGTATTCCTTCTCTTTTTTAGATTCCATTTTCACAAAGTGTGCTTGTTGGATCACTTGTTGACTGATATCCATAGACTCGGAGAATTTAGTGGTTATCTGCCTCATGTACCTAACATTGGGCTTTTGCTCTTCTTCATAGGACTGTCACATGTGCTGGTAGTACTACCCAGCGACCTCTTGGTCTTGCGAGTATCTGTACTCATAGGAGTTGCAACGTCCTCTGAAGCATCATCTCCCCATGCATCTTCAACATGCTCCTCTTCCTCAAAAAAGTCTTGTCCAGGCACAAAGGTTGTGGTTCCATCCACAGTGTTACCATCCACAGGTTGCGTACTCCCAGTGTGCGCTGTGTGCGAAGGGTAGGGAGACCAGAGCCCCGCGTGGTACTTCCTCCTTGGTCGCCACCGGACTGAAGGTAGTTCTCATATTCCCCGATATGAGGGAACTCCTCGGCCCCCTGTAAGTTGAAGTTGAGGTCAAGTCCATCAAGGCCCGCCCTGGGAGCGTGGGCGGCGCTGCTCGAAGACACCTGAGAGTAGATGTTGAAGCTAGCGGCTGACGAGCCCAGAACCGACGGCAGCTGTGAAAAGAAGTTGAAGCCGCTGTCACGCTCCATCTGCACCGTGGGAGGTCGACCACGGCGCGGCGCCGATGGGGATCAGGAGGGAGGCGCCGCGGCTAGGAGAGGACGGCAGCGTGACTGAGAGAGGACGGCGGCGGCGCGGCTGGGAGATGGAGGTGGGTCGGGAAGACGGAAGTGGCTCTAGACGGCGATGACGTGGATGGTGAGCGGCGACACGGATCTGGTGGGGGCGGCGTGGATGGGGTGGCCGGCGGCGACGCGGATGGCGGGCGGCGACGCGGATCTGGTGGGGGCGGCGCGTGTTGCGGGAGGGCAGGGGAGAGGAATGCGCCTCGGGGTGGGGAGGGGAAAGTGAAATTAGCCCAAATAAGCACCTCTTGGAAGGGCTAAGGGTTTGGGGGAGGTGGGGTAATTCACTTTAGCCCAAAATTAGCCCACCTGTTTAGATTTTTAGGGGCTAATTCAGGCTAAAAGATGGGGGGCTAATATTTAGCCCATTAAATAGGAATAGAAATAAATCCAGGGTAGAACCAAACAGGGCCATAGACGAGCTACTACTTCATCTCTAGAACTTGCTGATGAACGTTGTTCCAACGTCAATCCTCCTTCCTAGTAAGCCAATCCCAGTTTTTGGTGGATCAGGAATGTGCACAGACTGAAGTATAGCAGGGTGGGTCTCATACATGCAGAACAAGATTCTTGAACCACAAGCTCAGCCGTATGCACAAGCTCACCCGGATGGCCTAACGCGCGTCCTGCAGCTTGTGACGGTGTCCACCGGCACCCCAGATCTCGCCTGCTTGCGCTGCACTCGAGCTTGACCAAGTGTCGTGCCCCTCCTACTCATATCTACAGTCTACAGCTGTGCCATGGAATAGAACTCACCTTTTGGTGAGGATGAAGAAGAGTGTAGGAGAGAAACGTATATGGGTCTTCCAGTTAGCTACACAAGGTGGTGGGCTAGACGACCTGGTTTTGAAGCATCACCCCTTCTAATTATTTGATATTAGGTCATTCCCTAATATTCGCGTCTTTTAAGAAAAGTGTAGGAGGAAGAAGACAGACGGGGCAATGTGGGAGACATAACATCAATTTGGATGGAGTACCAAAATCAGTAACAGAGAGAGTGCCAAAATCAGTAACAGAGGTAACTTTCAATGCTAATAAAGTGAACTGGAACCTTTTGATGCTATAAAGCAAAGAAACAAAACTTTCGATGCTTTATAACCAATTTTATCTAAAATGTGTGGTCCAGTTTGCGCTTCCTCCTCCTCCTTTCCCTTCTTCATTCCGTCTCCACTCTCTCCCATTCCTAGTGAGCCCGGCCACAATGGCCACCCCCTCAACCTCCACTCCTCCGCCAACCATCTCTCTATTAGAGAGGAGGAAGAAAGAAGGGAAAGTAGGATGAAGAAGGGTAAAGGGGTCTAAAAATTCTGATGAACGCATGGAATCGATAAATAGTGGCATATTTCAAATATATGTAAAGTTGTAATGTTATAGGAATAAATAGAAGAATAATAATGGTATGCTTTTTTATCTCTTTGTAATTTTTTATTAATAAAATTAATCTAACAGCGAGGCCTCCCCTGCTGTGTTCTCTTCCAAAATAATAATGGTATGTTTTAATAATAGAAAAAATTATAATGGTATTGATCCAATTATAATACTACTATTTACTAGAAGCATAGTGAAACTATGCACTAACCTATGCTCTGGCCTCTCACCGCATCCATGGGAGAAAATTGTGATTTTGCTATCGCAAAATAATGGTTTCGCTGAAATACTATCCCTTCAAAGTGATTCATTAAAATGCTATTCTAAACTAAGGGGTGTTCACTGAAATGCTATTTTGGGTCTTTTTGAGTACTAGAAATGATTTTGCTCTATTTTAATTTTTGTTCTGACCAAAATACCCTGGTCTCTTTTATCTGTTTAACATCGAATCGATCTCATCCAACGTCTTCGGCTCGAGGAGGGAAGCCTCGCCGCCATTGCACATGGTGGCCTACGCGCGGCGCGGCCGGCGTCACACCTGGCTGTAGGCGAGCTGAAGAGGGATGCGCTCTGCCGGCTAGACGCCATGGCCAAGCACAAGCAGGACGAGATGGCCTGCCGCGCCGCCGCAGCAGGGGCGGACGGCAACATCGGCGAAGATCGAGGGCACCTGCCGCCGCATGAGCGACTCTCTTCCACGCCCTGCCGAGAAGCCTCACCGCCGTCGGAGCCCACGCCTATTGCTCCCATGGTGGTGCTGTGCCTGCGCGCGGCGGCGGCGCCGCCGTTGCAAACATCACGCCAGCGCCCCCCCCCCCCCATCGGCTCCAACTTCGGCGCCGGCCCCTGACCCCGCCGCTCCCCCACCTGCGTCCCGATGCCGACATCCCTGCTGGAGGAAGGCGCCGATCGCGTGCGCCATGGAGGTGGCCGGTGGTGGCGTAGACGCTGGCTTGTCGGAGCGAGCACCGCGTCGGGATGGTGGGGGAGGAAGAGGGGAAAGAGATGGGAGGGAGTATGACAGGTGGGGCCGCGTCAGGGGTATTTTGGTCAGATAAAAATTAAAATAGAGCAAAATCATTTCTAGTAACAAAAAGACCCAAAATAGCATTTCAATGATCACCCCTTAGTTTAGAATAACATTTTAATAAATCTCTTTGAGGGGATAGTATTCTAGGATAGCATTTTAATTAATCTCTTTAAAGAGATAGTATTGTAATGAAACTATTCTTTTGCGATAGCAAAATCACAATTTTCTCCATCCATGGTATGCGCGGGAATCTCCCGCCGCTCGCCGCCGTCACCGCCGCCGCCGCAAATGGCGCCGCCGTCCTCCTCCCACTCCCCCACGCGAAACAGCTCCACGCGCGCCTGCTCGTCTCCGGCCCCGCCCCACCCGACCACGACCTCCGCCTCCGCCTCCTCCTCCTCCGCTCCTACGCCGCGCGGGGCGACCTCGCCACCGCCGCCCGCCTGCTCGACGAGGCGCCGCCGCCCTCGCCCCTCCTCCACAACGCCCTCATCCGCGCCCACGCCCGCCGCCTCGACCTCCGCGCCGCGCTCGCGCTCTTCGCCCGCATGCGCCGCTCCCGCTCCTCCGCCGCCACCGCCACCGCGCCCGACGCCCACACCTTCGCCTGCGTCCTCCGCGCCTGCGCCGACTGCTCGCGCCCCGACGTCGCCAGGGTCGTGAACGGGATCGTGGTGTGCGCGGGGATGTCCTCGCATCCTGTCGTCGGAAGCGCGCTCGTCAGCGCTTACGCAAAGCTTGGGCCAGTCGGCGATGCTCGCCGCGTGTTCGATGGATTGCCTGAGCCGGATTTGGTTCTCTGGAACTGCATGATGTCTGGGTATGGGTACCGGGGAATGTGGAACGATGGTCTTGATCTCTTCTCCGCAATGAGGAAAGCTGGGGAGCGACCGGATGGGTACTCAATGGTCAGCTTGGTCTCGTCTTTCTGGAATCGTGAGGCGCTAGCTTTCGGTCAAGCAATTCATGGAATGTGTATCAAGGGAGGTTATGATTCAGGACACCATGTGAGGAGCGCACTTGTTAGCATGTACTTCAGGTGTGGGTGCATGGATTCAGGCCACTCCTTGTTTGGTAATTTGCTGGATGCAGATTTGGTTACATGGTCTTCACTAATTACAGGACTACTGCACATCTGCAAGTATGAGGAGTCATTTGGTTTGTTTCGGCAGATGTGCAACTCGGGTAGGAGACCTGACAGCATACTGGTTGCTAGTCTACTCTCGGCATGTGCTTCGATGGTAAATATTAGTTATAGCAAGGAGATACATTGTTATGCATTCAGGGTTGGAGCTCACACTGACATCAGAGTCTCGTCTTCTCTGATGGATGCTTATTCAAAATGTGGTTTTGCTGATCTTGCATATGGAGTGTTCTTCCAAATGCCTGATAAGAATTTAGTTATGTACAATACAGTCATATCAAACCTTGGTTCTCACGGGTTTGCAATGAAAGCTATTGAAGTCCTTGATGAGATGGTAAGTGACAAGCTCAAGCCTGACAGCGTAACCTTCTCAGCATTACTTGCTGCATGCTGTCATGCAGGTCTCTTGGAGGAAGGGTGGAAGTTGTTTAGGAGAATGAGAGATGAGTTCAACATGGCGGTTAAAACAGAGCACTATGTATATATTGTGAGGCTTCTTGCAACATTTGGTCAGCTCAAGGAGGCGTATGGTCTTATACAAACGATGCCAGCACCAGCAGATTCTGGTGTGTGGGGAGCATTGCTTTGGGGTTGCTGTGTCCATCGTGATTCCAGCCTTGGTAGGATCGTTGCTGACAAGCTCTTTGAGTTATATCCAGACAAGGCTTCCTACAGGGTCATGCTTTCAAACCTTTATGCATCCCAGGAGATGTGGTGGGATGCTGAGGAGGTGAGGGAAGAGTTGTGGAATGAAGATGTGCATAAAAACACAGGGATTAGTTGGGTTGGCAATGCAAGGAAATAATGATTGGGCATCTATCACTAAGAAACACTACAAAGATCAAATATAAATAAACTCTGTATTGTGTGCTCAGATAGAAATGTAATATTGTGAAATTACCTGAGACTTTATGTTTATTCAAATTGCCTTCAACATATATTCTTTTTTGTTCTATTATTCACATAGCATTGTTTATGCTGTTCTTGTGTATAAGCATGTGATTTTAATATGCATCCATGAAACTCTCCGTTTCTAATTCATGCATTGCATGTTAACGCTGTGTCGTTACATGAAGTCGAGCCCCTTTAGATACATTGTTTTTGCTTTCTTCAGATGGCTATTTTGTACCTCTGTTTAGTTTCCATAATTCCTTGTTATTAAGTTATATCACACTTCTCCTGCTTCTGCAGAGTCAAACTTATATATAGATCTCTGCTTTACCAATATGTTTGTTACAGGTATGCTTAACTTATATGACGTTCATTTGTTTTCTCCTCCAAAGTCCCTTGGATGACTTATCAACCCTTATTTGTTATTTGGAGCTCAGGATCAATCAAGCCATTTCTGTTAGTCTGAACCTATCAGTTTTAAATTATGTTTTTTATTTAATGCTTATTTTTGTATTCCTAAAGCAAATGTAGATAAGAGAAGAATTATGATACCATATCATTGTGATACTTAAGAGAATGTTGTTATATTATGTTTCTATGGATTGAGCACTCACACCGCAGTCATAATCAACTTGTTCATTTTATTTTCTCACTGGAAAAAAAAACATGTTAATATCAAGGTTCTGCACCCACATATCTGTTTGTTTGTTCCTGTAGTAAGTCATTGCAGATTTTTTTCTGTAGAACTCTCTCTATTCTATCTGTTCCATTGATTGGTAGAGTATGTATGTGTACATATCAACATATGAGTTTATGGGCCTAATGGGCCTCAAAACCATGCACATGCACAAGTACACAGCCTAACAGTTTTTCAAACTAGAGTCTCAGACGATGGTGTTGAAGTTTAGTCAACCTTAGCAAAAATGTGGGTTAGATACTCGCATGTTTATGAAAGCTGGAGAAAAATTATGCATACTTTTCATTAATTGCTTTACAAATTACACAAAATTCAAAATTCTGTGGTGGTTCAAATAGTTGTCACAAAGTTGTCGATTCAAAACTAGCAAGCCAACAGAGATGGTTATATTGATTATTGCATACTAACATGGTGGGGACAAACGTGTTTTTTTTTTTTTGTAAGAGGCTCATAACTTATTGCCACATCAATAAATTCTTCGAGAAGTTCACAATATCAGTAAAATGTTCCTGTTCTTTGCTCAGGGAGTACTCTTAGCCAACTTATAGGTTCTTCTTACAGTATAATGATTTGAATAGTTTCTCTCTGCAGCAGCAAGAAGGAATACTGGCATATCATTTTTTCCATGTGCCTTGAACAGTCAATGCTGCTTCAATGTCTCTACATAATCATTTTGTGTCATGCTGTCCTTTTCAGTGAAATATATTTTTTATGCTTGTAAGTGTAATCCAGTCCTCAAGCCTTGCAAAACAGGCCAAATGTTGGAAGCCAAAACAATCTTGACTCTTTCATAGTCCATGAGGTCTGCAGCTAGCTGACCAGATTTTTTAGTACTAAACCAGAATTGTTAGACATTGTAGGAAGCACCCTAACCTGAATCCTTAATTGTTTATGATGCCATCTTCCTATATGCCAAGACATGTGGAGCTTCAGGGAAGCGGATTAAACAAGGAACCATGGCATCAAGTGATATCACAGCCGGCATTGCCAGGCAATTGACATCTCAGGAAGTACCAAACAAGCATTAGAAGCCAGAATTGGAGTAACAGATAAACTACCCTCTGCAACCAAATCCCATTTGCCTTCCCTGTGGCTCACCATGTCCAAGCATGGTTTCCTGTTCTTCCTCCTCTTCTTTGTGCAACACCTTCACACCATCATCTCTTTGCTTGATTCACCTGGAGGAAGCTTAGCATCACTTCCAGAATGGCAGCCCATGCCATGCAAGTCTGTATCTGTCAACCCCTTATGCAGCTCATACCTCTATGTCACCCCAGAAGGGCGCAATTTGTCCAAAGTAGCCTCTGATTTCAGTGGGAATGCATCTCTTTTCCAGCGGATCACACGGCTCTCTGGTTCAGAGGACTTGCTGGTGAATGTGCCGTGTGTGTGCGAAGCGATCAATGCCACCATGACTGGTCTCTTCCATGACACTAACTACAGGGTGAAGGATGGCGATATGGGTGACATTATCAACAGCAAGACTTTCAGTGGGCTCGCGTTGAATGTTGGTGATGGTCAGATCCTGCACAAAGAAGAGAAGTTGATCATTCACCTTCCATGTGGATGCTCCTCGACAGCGCCAGAGGGAGTGTTGTCTTATGCAGTTCAGGATGGAGATACCTTGGGCAACATCGCAAGCTTGTTCAGATCGAGTTGGAAAGATATCTTGGATTTGAACCCAAGAGTCGCAAATCCTGATTTCATAAAGCCAGGATGGATCTTGTTTATCCCGATGGGAGTTGCTGGTCCTTCTAACAAGAGTGAGTCACTGTTTCTTTTCAACTGATGTTTTTATTTATTTATTTTCTGCAGTACTGAAAACTGATACATAAGGCTTCATGAGAACAAGTATAAATGGTACTGTGGACATGATATTAGATTTAGTGAGACACAATAAGCAGATGGCTCCACGATTGCTCTTCAAGTTTACAAACCGAAGCTAATTTTCTTTTGATCACAGGATCTCAACTACTGTGAAATTTGTGTGTACTACTTTTTGCTCCTTTCTAACTGGATGCTGAACCTTTGCATCTCCTTTCTTTGTTTGATGATTTTAGAGGTTCGTGGCTTACCAATCATAATAGCAGCATCCATATCAGTTGCCATGTTGCTCCTATGTGTGTTAACCATCATACTTTGCCTGAAAAGGAGATCTACTCTGCCCAGTGTTGAAGCACCAGCGCATAAAATGGAGAAAATTCCCAGTAATACAAGCATTGCTGCACTGGAGAGTCGTTTCTATCCATCCATGAGAATCAATGGTCTTGTTCTTCTACCTTTATTCGTGTTTTTAGTAAAAATACATCCTTATTAATATTATTGAGTTGATTGGTTGCAGAAATTGATCCATTCCAAACAGAGAGGCCTGTGATTTTCAGCTTGAGAGCAATTGAAGATGCTACATCTAATTTTGATGAGAAGAGGAAGATTGGTGAGGGAGGATATGGAAGTGTCTACCTCGGTTTCATAGGAACACACGTAAGAAGTTTCTAAAGTATCTTGCAAAGGTTACTATAATCACAAAGCAGTATTAGATGATCATATCCCTATTCGAAATTGGGACCTTCATTGCAGGAAATAGCAGTCAAGAAGATGAAAGCAAGCAAATCAAAGGAGTTCTTTGCTGAGTTGAAAGTGCTGTGCAAAATACATCACATAAATGTGGTACGTAGTTAGTTACCAGGAGGGAGGTGATGATTGATGGAATGATTTTTTGTTTTCTCAAACACATGATTGATGTAATGTGAAGAAAGTTTTTCTTTAACATTTTCAATTCTATTTTACATAGGTTGAATTGATTGGTTATGCTGCTGGGGATGATCATCTTTACCTCGTTTATGAGTATGTCCAGAATGGATCGCTTAGTGAACATCTCCATGATCCTTTGCTGAAAGGTATGTATTAAAATGAGAACCAGCATTTTATTTTGAGGTAACAATTGTTATTGATGTTCCAAAAGCAAACTATATATTTGGTAAAACTTGCAGAATTATCAATGGAGCACCTGTTTCTCATATTACATGAGCATGTGTGTTGCCCTTATTTAAGACTTACATCAACTCTCTTTCATGTGATATTTATAGGCCACCAACCTCTATCATGGACTGCAAGAACACAGATAGCAATGGACTCTGCACGTGGTATTGAATACATCCATGATCATACAAAGACCTGCTATGTGCACCGTGACATCAAAACCAGCAATATTCTGCTAGACAATGGTCTACGAGCTAAAGTGAGCCCATGCAAAACCCATCAATTTTCAGGTATGTCTGCTCAGATATTCCATCTGTTTGATTATCTTTTGTTTAACAGGTTGCAGATTTCGGCTTGGTCAAGCTCGTTCAGCGTAGTGATGAAGATGAATGTCTGGCAACTCGTTTGGTTGGAACGCCAGGCTACCTTCCACCAGAGTTAGTTTTGATTTACATCTACTTGAGATGATGGTGTTTCACATGTAGTAGCACTAATATCATTAATCCTGCAGATCAGTTCTTGAGCTTCACATGACTACCAAATCCGATGTGTATGCATTCGGAGTAGTTCTTGCAGAGCTTATTACTGGTCTCCGTGCACTTGTACGGGACAACAAGGAAGCTAACAAGACAAAATCTCTAATCTCAATCGTAAGATCTGTTGCAGCCAGTTTTGAATGTTTCAGCAGAATTGTTGTTTCTCCGATTGGCACACTGATCTTTACCCAAGTGTGCTCAATATATATTTAATGAAATCAAAGGATCAAATTGGCCATTTTGTGGACAGATGAGGAAAGCATTCAAACCAGAAGATCTGGAGAGTTCCCTGGAGACAATTGTAGATCCCTACCTGAAGGACAATTACCCCATAGAAGAAGTTTGCAAGGTTAGAAACACTGAAAGTTTGCATTCCTATTGATTCAGTAACCATCCCAGTTAATTGACCGATAATAAGTTTTTTTTTTTGTGATTTAGTTGGCAAACATTTCGATGTGGTGCCTCAGTGAGGATCCACTGCACCGCCCTGAAATGAGGGAGGTTATGCCGATTTTGGCTCAAATTCATATGGCTTCCATAGAGTGGGAAGCATCACTCGGAGGCGATGGTGAAGTCTTCAGTGGCGTTTCCAATGGTAGATGATGGAGCAGCATTGCTTTGGTAATTGGTACAGAGAAGAATGCACTCCTTGTTTTTATTAATTTGGAGAGCTATTTGTTGTAGTGCATTTTGGGAATTTATATACTGTGTTCCTCACTAACTGTTGATGTAATATGTTTATATTGGACACTCCCTTTCCAAGCAGTTTCAGTAGCGACCAAATTAGTCATCAAATTCTTTAAAGAACATTTGACAACATAGATTACGATGCCATATATCACTCCAGAAACACACAGGTTAGTTTCTTTATATAATGCACAAAGGTCAGCTACAGGCAGTTCCTCTCTCTCCAATTGATTGGGCAGAAGAAAACACACAACACATAAACTGTTATTGACTATTAAGATAGGTCCATGAGAAAATAATCTGGTCTAGACTTGTGTAGCCTGAACTGGGAGTGTAGCTTCTTCCTTGCTGGCAATTGCTTGTTCAGCTTTCTTGGCCCAAAGAACGCAGTAGAGACCGCCAACCATCACCACTCCACTTATTATGCTGCAGGTGAAAATCCAAATTCATGGTGAATTCCATGACAATTTTTCATTTTTAAAGAGGTTATGAAAGGGCAAGAAGTGAGCTGATCAGTAGAAAGAGAGGTCATAATACCTTCCCAGGGTGACTGCTTCTCCCAAGACAAATGAGGAGAGCACTATTGTGACAATCAGAGTTATGGGCATTGTCATTGCCAAGAAAACCGGTCCACTCTTGTCAATCACCCATACTTGCATGTAGTATGCAAGTCCAGACACAAGTGCACCCTGCACATAAATAGTGTTATCACAGTATTTCAGTTTGTTGTTTACGTTGACAGTGTTTGGATTAATAACCAAAGGCCTGGCCATTAGAAAAGAAATTGCCTCTTCATCAAAATCTTGGTTAAAAAGAAAAGCATGACAACATAAGTGAAACTATAGGATAGGGGGAAAAAGGAAAATTTAGGGAAATGTGTTCAGATGAGTTGATGAAATAACACAAGAAACTGTCAGAACAATGTGGAAATGTAGTTGTTCTATGGAGCAAATGTAATGTTATTCCATAAATGAGATCAAATATAACAGGGTAAATATCAAGGTTTCAGGATGTGCAAGTTCCTGCCAGACGCATCATTAGGATCGGAACACTTTTTTTAAAAAAAACCTGTAGTCTAATGACAAAATAAGATTGTTCAAATATATGAAAACCCTGAAGTAACCAATATTGGTTGAAAATTGGCACAGCCTGAGGATATTGCACTTACTGAATAAATCACGGCGATAAGACCTGCATCTAGTCCCAGCTTCCACCGCGAAAAATCTCTTTCGACTGCTAGAGCAATGAAGAAACACTGAATGGTTGCAAAGACCATCTGGATAGTTGTGTTGAGTAGCTTAGAGGGATACACCTCCAACATAAGGCCCTGAGGAAGTACTATCTAGGTAAATATCATGAACACACCCAGAGTACTACTTGGTCTTGTTAACATTTTAAAGTTGCTCTTCGAAAAATCCATACCTGAAGAACTGTCCAAAGAGCCCAAGATGTTGTAGATAAAACTGTTAAAAAGATCCCTGATGTCCATGCCTTTGTAGTATAGGCAGTACTCCCAGTAGGGACGACATTTCGACTAGAAAGATGCTGAAGGTTCAGAGACTTCAATTCAGGTCCCTGGTAAAATGCGAGTATGATAACACCAACAATGGAGAAGAGTACACCAAAAACTTTTGCAATCCCATGGATCCTCTTCAAGTTTAAAGACTCCATCCTACAAGGTGCACAAGGATAAATATCAGAATCTGAATAGCATCCTCAAGTTTGTGGAAAAACGAACAACACTACATCATGTTTGCAAAATTTTTGGATGTAAATGTTTTTCAGTCTCTAGCAAGTTAGCTGTTGCCACTATTTATTCCATGGACATGATCTGAAGATAGACCGCTTTAAAAATTATTTCCTTTCACATTTTCATGATTTAGAAGGGATTTAACTGTAGTAAAATCCTATATGATGCTATGCAAAAGGAAAATATTGGACAATTAGCTAGCATAGTTGACTGTTCATTTTAAGGGTCAGTTTACCATATGTCTGTTTTAGTATAGAACTTTGGAGTAGCAACATGAACAAGAATAGACAAATGAAAACCTTTTTTTTACAAAGCATGCAAGATGTAAAAATGAAAAGCTTACCCCATTTTTTTAGATAATGAAAAGCTTACCCCATAAGAACTGCCAAGAAGAAGGCCAACACTGGTAGAAGGTTAGATATTGCAGATGATGATGTTGCTGAAGAATAACTAAGACCAAGGCCATATATGTTTACTGACCCAGCAATTCTACAAGAAAAGGAAATAGGCATAAAATGATCAATGCTTGCCATAAGCACAACAGCAAAAGGATTTCATAACTGATGCACATGGTTAACAATTATGTAGAGAAACCGAAAAAACTAACTATCCTTTTGGTGACATTGTACCAATTAGAAAACCATGAATTGGATCTGTTGGGAACAGCGTAATTCAGGAATATTTCTGTAATTACAGATAACTAAATATATACTATGTATAACCCTTAAAAAGAGACAAAATAACCATATGTACTGCACTGTAACCAAGAACAATACAAATTCCCAATTTACTGGAAAAATATAAAAAGAAACGGACAAATAATTGAATATGAAAACAAAGGAACTCTACACACAGTAAAGCAAAAGGCAGAACATCAGCACAGAGTGCCTGGGTAATAGAGCCACAAGTTGAAATTAATTCCATGCAATGTTTCAGGTAAACATCAATATCAGATAAATAAGATTAAAAGAAGTACATAAAGCATATGAAACTTTGGCTTACCCATATAATGCATGCACAAATAATTTTAGCAAGATTTTGTATGACAACGGTGGAGCAGTTTTCCTGCACAAACACACACAACAACAAGAACAAAAATAATCTCAAACATATGCTTCTATGGTGTCATCCCAACAAAAGTTAGCAAAATTTTCATACCTTTCTACCACAAAAGCAACTGGAACTAGGAATAAAATAGCAATTGCATGCCTGTAGAAAACAAAAACAGTTGTGCTCATGCCTCTATTGAATGCGATTTTGGTTACTATCTGCACACCTCCATATATGGATCTTATGAAGAATGCAACCACAAGAACTTCTCTATTCCCCATGAGATTAATTAGTGTAATTGAACTTGTATACGTAAACTTTGATTTAACGCAAGTTTATATAGGAGGGTTGATTCCTGTTGGACCCAGTTTGTAAATTACTTTGACATCAGCACACTCCACTATCAAACTGGATTTAGGTGGATTTTAGGTAAAAGTAGGACCCTCTAAGTCTAAGGTGATCCAGATAGGAAATGCATATTCACCATCACAGAACACCTAGGCTACCCCAACTTAATAACTCCATAGACAGAAAAGAGCTAACATAGGTATGGTTACCTATATGGTTGAAAGTTGCATATATGGTACTAAATACAAACCGATGACATAATTACAACAAATAGCAGGACAAAGGTACTGTAATTCGAACAAAATGGCAGAAAATATGCAAGAATTATAGAATTTTCAATGCAAAGATTAGTATATACACTGTTTTTACGATAGATTTTAATACAAAGATTCTTGTTCATTCTAACTTGTTGTATTGTAGTCATTTGCTTTCATTCAAATTCCCGCAACAATGTATAGGGTATCATCTAGTTTTTTCTTTGTGAAACAGGGATTGCTTCACCAATACTCTCAAAATTGGCCATTTAATTGTTCCATATGAAATATTCCTGAATTCCAGGGTTGGAGGGTGGGGAGCAAAGTAATGTTGCAAAATTAAAAAGAAATGCAAAATTCCTTACCTTTTTTCCTGTGGGAGAAATATGAAACAGCTAGCTAGTTTTGTTGTCTCTATGCTGTTTTGGGTTCAAGATTATTCAATGCCTAGTGTGCACACCACATCACATGCCTTTTGAGAACAAATACCACGTGCTATAACCAGTGTGCTAGCTTCATCAGCAGCTCAGAAAAGTGAGTACGAGAAAAAACATTGGGCAGATGGAAAAACGAATGGATGAGAAGGCATATGACGTTTTTCGTTCTGTCCTGATCCGTACCGATCAGAGAAGTACGTGTAGTGCTCTACCAATGAGGAAATGACCTGGCACATCACTTTGGTGTGGATCCTGATTCATGGGCCACTCATGTCTCATGTGTGCATCACTCAAGGAACTGAAAATTGAGAATGAAATGCACATTGTGATTATATATATGTTGTTGTGTTGGCTTTGGCATCGGTGGTGGAACTCGCCTGATAAGGCCTGGGCAGGTATGCCGTATGCACATCCCTGTCAGCGATGAAGAGACTACAAACTCCTTTTCCAATCTTTTCACGATGATAAGTCTGGGCGATGGAGCCACATCAAACTTCTGGTGCGACGCGACAGCGAGCTCATGGGTGGGGTCGATATCCCCTTTTGGTGGGGGTCAGATGACCTCGATAAGCAAGACGACAATGAGAAAATAAAGGTCTAATTGTCTCTTCTCTATAAAAAAGAAGACTAAAGTATATGGCCGGTCCTTAAAGTTGGAGCGAGATGTCACTCAGGTTCGTGATCTTGAAAAATCGATATTAGGGTCCGCGATCTTGTTTAAGGACTCGTTGAGGTCAGAGGACCTCTGACCGGGTTGACTGGCTTACGTGGCCGTCCAGAGTGGCAGCATATTTATATCCCCCCTCCCCAGCGCATCCGATCCAACCCTTATTCTCCAAATCTTTTGTCGGTGTGATTTCTATGGTTTGCGGTTGTCGGGTCGATTGGTGGCAGTGGAGACGCGGCGGCAGCAGTGACGATGACAATGACGACAAGGAGGGAGGCGGGTACGGCAGCGGGTTGGCGAGCATACGCAAAGAGGGAGAAGGGCGGGGGACGGTGGCCAGCCCTTCTCGCCGTCACTTGTGGCGGCCGCGGCGAGACCTGCAAGTGTTGGGCGGGCTGCCTCGAGTACCCTGAACTGCCCGAGTCGAGGTCGCCCTAGGTGAAGGGGAGCGGGAATAGCGAGTAGGGCGGTGGCAGCGGCTGGCCAACGGAGCGGGGCGGCGGGCGGCTTCTAGGGTTCGGCGGCGAGGGCGAGATGGTGTCGGAGAGGGTGAAAGGGATGGTGAAAGGGTTCGATGCCACTAATGGGTTCAGCTTCATCACTCCCGACGATGGCAGCGAGGATCTCTTCATCCACCAGTCCTCCCTCAAGTTCGATGGCTATCGGAGCCTCAACGACGACGATGTCATCGAGTTATCTGTTGGATCCAGCGACGACGGCCGCACTAAGGCCGTGGACGTCACGGCGCCAGGCAGTGACGCGCACACCGGCGGATCCCGTCCCAGCTGCGGCCATATCCCTACGGCTGGTCGTCCCCTAGTCGTCTCCTAGCCCTTGATGCGCTGCTGCTTCCTGCTCCGTGTCATTCACCACCGCTCGTCATCCCCTCATCGTCTCCCGGCTAGATGTGCGTGGACGACGCGAAGTAGCAGCATGAGGGTGACCTCTGGCAAGCTCTCTCATGTCGTCCCCGAGCTCAGCCGCTGCCACACCGGGCTGCCGCCACCGCACCCCGAGTCGTCGCTGGTCCAACCTTCACCACTGTGGCCTCAAGCTTGTATAGAGCTCAGCCGCCGTAGCTCGACGCCCTCTACCCTCCACCGCTGCTCCCCTCTCCTCGGCCCTCAACCGCGTGCGGCGCACCATCGTTGTCTACCATCAGCCGTGTCGTCGTTGTTGTCCACCATCAACCGCCCATCGTCGTCCTCACCACCAGCGCTGAAAGAAGATTTGGGGAAAGAAGCTATTGCATCGGATGCGAGGGAGCTAAAATGCAAATATGCTGCCACTCTGGATGGCCGCGTAAGCCAGTCAACCTGGTCAGAGGTCCAAGTCCTTTGGATCTCAATGAGTCACTTAAACAAGATCGTGAATCCTAATGTCGATTTTTCAAGATCATGTACCTAAGTGACACCTTGCTCCAACTTTAAGGACCGGCCGCGTACTTTACTCAAAAAGAACAACAGATCTTGATGCCCTGCCAATTCCTCTTGGTAAGATTATGCTTTGTTAGTACTACACCATGGCGTAAATAATAAAGAAAGATCTTAACTTTTAGAGGGGCCTTTAGTTTCTAAAGTAGTTTGTTAAGATTAGGGACACTAGCACGGACAAAGAGCCTTATAGTGAGTCTTCACCGAGAACTCCCCATTTTTAGTGAGGCTCCAACGAAATTCATCTTGCTCATGTGATAGCACAATATTAGTGATTCATGGAAATATATTGTTCCACGCTACTAATTTAGAGCCAATTAGATCCCTTCTCCGTGAAAAGTTGAGAGGGCATGTCTCCAAGATTTCCGAAATTATTGCCCGTTTGTGCCTAATAATGTTGTATAGATAGGGATATTGGTCCCGCAGGGGTGTATTGCTCAGCCATTTGTCTTCCTAAAATCTAATTTGAGAGCCATTCTTACTTGTGAACGACCAATAACGAAAAAGGTCTTGCTTGTCCTTCACAAGGCTAGCCTAAAAATACGTGTCCCTGGATTTTCATTGGATTTTTTATAAAGGTTGTAATCCCAAATATGTGTCACTGCCTCAGGACAGGCTAATACTGTAGGTTTGTGGGGCCTGTCACACTACCAGTTTCCCTACCGGCAATGGGCTGGCGACACTGTTGCCTGCAAGCAACACCGTGGGGTTTCCTGCTGGCAATGAAATGGTTTATCACTGCCAGTTCACACCGTGGACCGGCAATGATAGTATGGCTAGGCAACGACAGGGCACCGCTTATCACTGTCGATCGTTGTCAAGAACAGGTGCTGATATCAGCTTGGAAATAAAAGAACATGACACAGGCTACGTTTAGTTCCACGTTAAAATTAAAAGTTTGAAGAAATTGAAATAATGTGATGGAAAAATTAAAAGTTTGTGTGTGTAGAAAAATTCAATGTGACGAAAAAATTAGAAGTTTGAAAAAAAAATTGAGAACTAAACAAAGTCACAGTACAGACAATCCAGGCATGGGCTGAACGGTTCTGGTAATAAACCAAATGGATAGTCCGTGCAACCTGGCCAGATAGTCCAAATGTCACCTAGCATGGACAGTCATAGCTAGCTTGCCGGACAGTCCGGACATTGACGTGGACAGACTATCCTGGCAAAATGATCGGACCGACCAGACAGTCTAGGTGTCGAACAATCAGTCCGTACGTCAAACCTGACTAAGGGTGTGTTTAGTCGGGGAAAAGGAAATTTTTGGGTGTCACATCGGACGTTTGACCAGATGTCGGAAGGGGTTTTTGGACACGAATGAAAAAACTAAAAACCGCGAGACGAATCTTTTGAGGCTAATTAAGCCGTCATTAGCACATGTGAGTTACTATAGCACTTATGGCTAATCATAGACTAAGGCCCCTGTTTGATTCAGTTTAGGATTATTATAATCTAGCTTATTATGAGTAAGTTGAAACAAACAAGTAGATTATTATAGCAGATTATTATAATCTATAAGCCAGCTTATTGTAATCTAATAAGCTACTCTAAAGGAGCTTTTTTCAGATTATCGAGTGGCTAAAGACCCACTACCCCTAGAGAAAAATTACCCACTTATGCCATCAACCGAACAGATAGCTGAGAGCATTATAGACTTTAGCCTTTCAAACCCAATAATCCATGCCTCCAATAATCCAGACAAACAAACAACCCACAACTTATTATATGTCAGCTTATTATAATCCAGCTTATAGCAATCTGGCTTAATAATCTAGATTATAATAATCATAAGCTGAAACAAACAGGGCCTAATTAGGCTTAAAAGATTCATCTCGCGATTTTCCTCATAACTGTGCAATTAGTTTTTCTTTTTATCTATATTTAATGCTTCATGCATGTGTCCAAAGATTCGATGTGATGTTTTTGGGAAAAAAATTTTGGGGAACTAAACGGGCCCTAAACAGTCCGGTTGTCGACCTGATGTCGAAAAAACACTGCAGCCCGTTACTTTCTCCGTCCCAAAATAAATTAATTTTTAGAGTTTAAATTTGTTCCAAAATAAACCAACTTCTACCTTCTTACCTACCACCAATCCGCAAAACGAGAAATTTTATTATTTCAATACCCTCACCTACCCATTATTCAATGCAATATTAACATTAATTAAGGGTATTGTGGTCTTTTCTTTCTCTCCTTAAAAGCTCATTGGTAAGCTAGGGTTTGAGTTATTTAGGGATAGAGGGAGTATGTGGTTGTGTGTTGTGACTTGTATCAACTGTTGTCATATGCTTCTGTTGTAAGCAATTTATGATGTCATTTATTCTTAGCAATACAATGTTCTTCACTTCTAAATCATGACCATTCGTAAATAAACTTGATCTTTGGGGCAGGGCATTCTGTTCCACTTAGCATGTACTTGTTTTGAACATCACTCAAGTCTCTTCTCAAACCACTCCTTCATCCATTTCCATTTCACATTTCTTAATATCCTAATGTATAGGAATCCAAAGATAGTGAATCAGAAATTCACCCCAAGTAGCGTCAAACCTATGTCCACCTCATAGTGTCTCATATATGTTTGGAGGTTGGCTTTTGCGAATATGTATGTGGGACCTCATGTCCTATTAGGAGAGGTTGCTACGTGTTGGTCATTATGGTTGTATCGGAATGATGTTATATTTTATAATAAAAAATGTTTTCTCTCTTTTTCATGTTATTTTCTTCTTTATGCATCGGCTCGATACCTGGGATATTCTTCATAAGCAGGGATTACAGGGTTTTTTTTTATGGCATGTCAGGAGTTAGTACAGGTGGTTAGAGAGTGTTTTACTCAGGAGTATGGATAGCGATCATATATGGATTGATTGTCCTTCACATTCCTTATACTATCTTTTCTTTAGATGAAGACTAGTGTGTGAGTGTGAATTTTCTGCCATGCAGAGGCAGGAAGTGTTCTCGGTACGGGTTGTATCACCTTAATTAGTTAAGTTCAATAAAACTTCAATTATCTTATGGAATTAGAAAAGGATATGTGAATCTATGCTCACCTTGGGTCCCTGTGGAGGATCGCTTTCTGAAAATACCATTACAATCATTGAACTTTGTGTAAATCTAGAAAAAAGTTACTTCAACCGTAAACTAGTAATAACTGAACCCACATAGTGAGATGCACTTGATAGTGCAGTAGCAAGGGGTGTGTGGTTTCAACCCCGAGGTCACGTGCTTAATCCCCAACACACTCACAATTTCATCTTAGAAAACTATTTGGAGGGACGTCTCTCCCTCCAAATCTCGAAAAATATGAACCCACATGGTAAAATTCTGGATCCACCCCAGATGATGCTTGGCTTCAGCCCTCGCCGCAATTTTTCTCAATGTTTTGCTTCATACGGCAAATCATTCTACGGTTGCATTTCCTTTTTCCCCCTTTTAATTGTCTGTATAACTGTATTAATTGACTTTACTCCCTTGATTTAATTAAAAAAATAGCAGACCTTCTGTTGTTCCTGAAAAAAAATTGTTGGTAATGTGCATCGCTTTAGTGTTGGATAGCCCAGTATGTCAACATGAAGGAGAGAGGTTTAAGAAGGGGACAGTACAATGCATGCAATTTGAATATGAAATGGGCAGAAAGTATTGTGCTTCTTACCCAACAAATCCTGTCCTCTCAATCCACAATTCCTTCTCACATTCACAATAGTTGATCACATTGGCAGTAAACATGTATATTTCATTTAAAAGTACCATATACATATATTGAGGTGGCCTTTTTCCATCCACGTCACTCCCACTCAGGGCAACATGGACGGCGACCAAAGAACCACCACCGCTACCCCTCCTTCCTCGGCCCCCGCCTTACCACCGCCCGAACGCTCGTTGGAAAGGCCGGCTGGCTGCGAGGGTGCTATAGCGGTCGGGGCGCCAAGGCGACCCAAAACAAGAGAAGGCACCGCACATATCTGGGGCCTTCTTGGCTGATCCGGTGAGGATAGGTGGCACGGGTTGGAATGGCCACGGAGGCAGATGCTTCTACGACTGTATCTGGTAAGAAATGGGGGAGGGAGTTGGAGTGGAGGTAGTAAAGAGGGCACAAAGGTGGTGCCTCTGCGACTGGATACGGAGAGGAGTGACGGCACCGCTTGGAGTTGTGGCGAGCAATAGGGCAACAAGGTGGTTATTTGTGTGGCTAGATCTTTCATCCCCATGCCTAGATCTGTTTCTCTCCCCCTGCAACGATGACGACACTAGGTGCGCGTGGTGAGATCCGGTGTGGCACAGGCAGTGAGACTAGAGTTGGAAGCTCCGGCGTGTGGCGGCGTCCAGTGGCAATGAAGGCATGAGGCAGCGGCGGTGCAAGCAAATTACATGAAATGATGCGCCAATGGTGTGAGATGGGATGGCAGTGCAAAAGGTTTGTTGGAGTTGCCAAGACCAGATCTGGCACTGCAGCCAGTGGGCAGCGTCCTGCAAGGTTGCAACATTGCAGTGCCATGTACTACGATGTGATGGTACTCCTGTAAAAATTTTTTGTGCTATATCAATATGAAACCTTACACTGTTCATTTAAAAAGAAAAGGAGAAGTCTAAATCTATGCAAGTTCTAAAATAGATGGTCCTCTGATCGGTCAACTATAAACTAGAAAATCAAAATTATATATATAGAAAAAAGAAGAGCAAATATAAGAAAACCCCATGTACATGGGCCTTTGTAACGAAAACCCCCATGTCTAAGCTATAAGTTTCAAAGTACCCCAGGCAAATGAACCAGGCTTCAAAAACCCCCTTATTTAATCAGTTTTTGTCTAATGGGCTTGTTAACGTGGCTATTAGCCCACTTGCAGCTGCTACGTGGTCTGCTGGTGTGGCAGGGGTGGGGAGCGAGCGCGGGAAGGCGCTTACAGTGCGCTTTTTAGGCGGGAGGGCACGCATATCAAGCGGCGTTTCTCTCCCTCTTCAGGGCTGAAATAGAGAAGGCAAGAATCATCACTAAAGCAAATCAGCACATAGAGCAAGAAGAACGTCCAAAATAAGATGGCAATTATCGCAAACTTTGAACATTGGTCTGACAAGAACAGGATTTAATTACTTCAATCCAATCATTTAGAAGGTTTCTGGCTTACCCTTAATTACAAAATATTTGCTATAACTTGCATATAACATGTAATTTTTGGTGGACATCGCTGATTAACCACATCTAATGTACATGGTTAAGTGTGATGGTTCATCTATAGTCTTATTGCAAAATAATAAAAACTTAGTCTTTCATTCTATTCTTCATATTGCACTAGCATCGCATCCTTGATCAGCACTGAATCAATGCATTGCACGCCCTCTTCCCCTTACACCTCCTCCTCTCCTTGCACGTCCTCGTCCCCTTGCACTGAATCAATGTCTCTTGCAGTACCTCTGGGCACAATCAGGAAAAACTGCTTTGATGGCATGCAGCAGCCCCTGCAAGTTTTGGATTTACACTATGAAATATTTGGTATGGTGTGACTAAATACGGGGGTTTTTGAAGCCTGGTTTATCTGCCTGGGGTACTTTGAAACTTATAGCTTATACATAGGGGTTTTTGTTACAAAAGCCCATGTCCACGGGGTTCTCTGATATTTGCTCAAAAAAGAAAGATAGGACAAGAAAGAAGCTTGGTTATGAAAGGCGCAAGCTCTGTTCATATTTATTTTTGCTGGACACAGATCAAATTATGCTAATATGATCCCAAGGCTTGTGATGTCATGTTATTTTTACAAACATCTGATGAAAAGTATAAGGACTGCTAATGTATTTTCCTCAGTTAAATAAATCATATAATATCAGATATTTGATCGTGGATCTTGAAGACAGTATTGAAATACAGGCCTTGAACAATAATGATGTCATTGCTGACCTGGATTGGATCTCTGCATATATGAGACTAGATGTAGGGCTGTTTTGCTTCGAATGTGCTACCAAAATTTTATGAGTGCCGAAGCTTGGGCCAAGTTTTGGCACTACTAAATTTTTGATCGGGTAATAATATGAATATGAAATGGATAGAAAGGTAGAGCCAAAATTTTGGAAATGCAATTTTTTTTATAGACTGTTGTTTGCTACTTACCAAAGTTTTGGCTATACCAACATTTTGGTAGTGTAGCAATCCAAAACAGCCCATAGTCTCAAGTCCCAAAAGCCCATTCGACCCTCCCAAGAGCCCATAGTCTCACTATGTCCCCTTTTAACACAAAATTTGGATTTGCTAGTGCACAACTGCCTTATCCATATCTATAGGAGGACAGGTCATCATTTTTTTTTGTTTGCGAAATATTGTAGAACTAAATATAGCTAACTAGAATCCAGCCCATGATCCTTTGAACAATACAGGGAAAACTCTACATACAAACTAATTATTTCAGAACACTGGGAGCTAGTACTACACTGACCATTGAGACTGGGCCTAAACTCGTGTTGTCTGGACTGGAACTACCATCTGTTGCTTACTGATAGCTGCCTGTTCACTTTTCTTGGCCCAAAGAACACAATAAAGACCACCAACCATTACCACTCCGCTTATTATGCTGCAGGTAGAAAAACCAAATTCATCATGAAAGCCATGAAGTTATTTGCATTTAATATAAGATAAAAGAATACATGAAGACATGAGATGATCAGAAGAAACCTAGAAAGAGAGGCAATACCTTCCCAGGGTGACTGCTTCTCCTAATACAAATGAGGACAGCATTATTGTGACAAGAAGAGTTATGGGCATTGTCATGGCCAAAAAGACCGGCCCACTCTTGTCAATAACCCATACTTGCATGTAATATGCAACTCCCGAGACAAGTACCCCCTGCACATTGTATTCAGAGTGATTCAGCAGAAATTTCAGCAATTTTCCCCTTTCTGCATTAAAAGTATTCTAACTACCTAGGTCCACTTCATAATGTGGTAACTGGTAAACAAGGAACATAGCAGAAAACATGTCAATGCAAGTGAAACAAGGATATGATTTGAAACACAGAAAATATAGAAACATGAAAAATGTAGAAAATGTGTGATGAGTGGCAGGGAGAACACAGGAAAATGCAATAAGAATGTAAGTACCCTATTCATCAAAATCCAGCAGGTACTAGTACTTGCTTTATTGGCATTTTCACTGCTGTTTTTCGTGGAATCGCAAAGAATCCTATCAAATTCATCACAAGGAAGAATTTTTTTTTACTAGTACTCTAATGACAATATGAAAAGCTAAAACCACTAAACTAACCATTGTTGGACCAAAATAGGCAAAAGCTGGGGGATATTGAACTTACTGAGTAGATCACAGCAATAAGGCCCATATCCAGGTGCAGCTTCCATCGTGAAAAATCCCTCTCAATCGCCAGAGCGATGAAGAAACACTGAATAGTTGCAAAGACTATCTGGATGGTTGTGTTGAGGAGCTTAGAGGGGTATACCTCCAACATAGGACCCTGAGAAGCAGTACAGGTTACTATATAGTTAAATGCAATTATCATGGACAAGCCTAGAGTAACATCTTTTAAGTATTCATACCTGAAGCACTGTCCAAAGTGCCCAACATGTTGTTGATAAAGTCGTCAGAAAAATTCCTAATATCCATGTCGTTGCAGGATGTGAAGTAGCCGCAGCATAGACAGTACTCGTGCGAAAAAGATGGTGATGGTTGAATGATTTCAACTCAGGTCCTTGGTAGAACGCAAGTATGATGACACCAACAATGCACAACACTACACCAGAAACTTTTGCAATTCCATTGATCCTCTTCAAGTTCAGGGACTCCATCCTACAAGGAGAAATCCCAAATTTTTTTTAATCTTGCCAACCTACTTAGGTTGTGAAAGGAATGCATAATGTAATCTCGTAATCTCATTTTGTCAAATCATTTACGAATTTTATTAAAGCATGTTAGTGCCTTAGTGGTGTAAAAATGAAATACCTACTTCATCAGAAGAGCCAAGATGAAAGCCACCGCCGGTAGAAGGTTAAATATCGCAGATGATGATGTTGCTGAGGCATAACTGAGACCAAGGCTATATATGTTTATCGCCCCAGAAATCCTAATAAGAAAGTGAAATACATATAAAGTTGTTAGTGGCTGTGCTGTAAGCAAAATGATGAAATTGACAAACATGATTAACTGAAAATAGTTGACATTTACAAACAGAACAAAGCAGTCAGGAAACTAGTCCTTTCAGCAACTTCTATATGAACTTCTAAAAATTGAACCAATGGAGCATCTTAACACTGGATCGTCATTAGCAAAGCTAATAAAGTATAACACAAAGCGTATACTAGAAAAGAGAGATGGAATATACATGTTTACAAGACTATGACCAAGAAAAGACAAAAATAACAATATAAACTGCACTTTTAACCAAGAGAGAGAGAGAGATGGTCAAATAACTGAACAGGAAAACTAAAGAACTTTGCACAGAAGTGCAATGTTATGCAAGAACTTCCAAGATGCAAAGTAGTTAACTTCATACAGAGATGTTTCGATATACAAGAACTGTCAAGATGGAAATTCTGAAACCTATCCAACTTGATATCAAGAGTCTGAAAACTAGTTGCAACCAACGTTTTTGGTCGATAACCGTGAAGATTCCGGTCAATAAGAAACCAAGTAAACAACAATATATATCACAATTTGACCTACCCATATAATGCATGCAAAAATAGTTTCAGAGACACTTTGAATGTCAGTGGTGGAGCAGTTTTCCTGTAAAAAGAACAAAAAAAAACATTAAATGCATCTTCCACAATAACAACTCAGCAAATAGGTAGAACTCTCATACCTTTCTAGCACAAATGCGACGGGAACCAAGAACAGGATAGCAATCACATGCCTGTAGAAAACAAAGACAGATGTGCTCATGCCTTCATTGAAGGCAAATTTTGTTACAATCTGCATCCCTCCATATAGGGACCTTATGAGGAATGCAACCACAAAAGCCGCTCTAGTGCCCATTGGTACAGTCTGTTGGAACCTGCAGATATGTTTGTTTAAATAGGATGGATGATTATGTTGGAGCCAGCTAGTCTGTATTTACATTAGCATCAGCATACTCCAGTATCAAACTGGGATTGATTTCCTTAGTAAAGTATAGTAGCCAGTAGGGCCCTCTAAGGTGACTGACACGAAATTATATTTGACCATGTACAGTGCATAGTTACTTCCAAGTGGTTGCAAGTTGAACAGATGCAAAGACAGACTAGACTGTTTGCAGAACATCGTCAAATAGCTTCACTGATGCCAAAATTTACAATGGAAAATTTTGAGCATCAACTTTTGAGAATTGGATTTCAATTTGGAGCATCCATCTCCTGCGTATTCAAAAAAAAAAAAATTGGAGCATCCATTAATAACAGTCACTCCTGAAAGTCAACATGTAGAAGGTAAGTCATGCTAGATAAATGGTTCACAGTAAACAAAATGGCGCTCCAAACACAAGATCTAACTAAGCAAGATGAGAACACACCTTGATGAGCATAAATAAAACAAAAAATAATGGAAAATATGGGATTACAATTATGGCCTGGTCATTGATTTGCATAATCAGGAATGTTGTTTAATTTCCAGTTTCAACATGTTTTCTGGGAAAATAAAAGATCATTTAAGATCCAGCTGTGCTGATTCACATGATGTTATTGTCATGCAACAGTGGATAATCTTGATGAACAGGGAGCCCAACAAAATGACAAGAATCAATCTATCCAAAGCCATCATGAATCAGGCGCGTAATGTCAAATGGTGCTTCCAATCTCGCTGAAGAAGCTGAAATGTCGATAGATCCCATTTCCTTTGGTTCCCCCCTATGTTGTTCTGTGAGTAGTTGGCTAACTGTTGAGTGTTGGCCTGGCCCCAGCAGCATGGCTTGTAACTTTCCTGTGTGCCTGAATCTGGTAGTAAACTGGTCATCCCCAGCTGCAGGTTTGATGTCTAGCTTATCGGTGGTTTACAAAATTGCAACCCCTGCATTCATCCCAAAATATAACTATTTCCGGCTTTCCACCCGGCAATAATTATGTATATTTTGGGAACAGAGGTAGTGTACTTTGTAAAGCCAAGTAATGAAAAAGTAACCTCGGCCAACAAAAAAAAAAGGAACTGTTTCACACGAAATTTTTGTTTCCAGTAAGTACTAACTTTATATTGCAGTTACCATCCGTAGGAGGAGAGGGAAGAAAAGAAATGGAAAACTTTTTACAGGTTTGTTTTACACACTAGGTTTTCTTTTCCTGATGCAAGAAGCGAGTGGTCAGTGTGCAATGCCTTTTTCAAAAAAAAAAAAAACCGGATGCTGTTCGTCCTTTCATGGATCAGTAACACGGAAAGAATGGACGAGGATTCTCTCTCTCAAAAAAAGAGAAAGAATAGACGAGGAAAACGTTGGGCAGCTCAGAAAGAACGGATGGAAAACACCTGGCGTTTCTGGCCTGACCTATCCATGTTACTGCTGGGAAAGAATGGATGAGAAGTAGGTATAGTGCTCTACACGTCACCTGGCACTTCATTTGATCAGCTGCCAGCTTGATTCCCTCCAACACTCTGCCATTCACTCGTTCATCCATCCTTGTTTAGGTTGGTTGTGTGATCTTTTCCATTATATTGCAATTTGCAAACTGATCTTTTTCAAATTTCCCATCTTGGTACGAAGATTCGCCAGGTTTTTGTGTATTCCCTAATAAAAGAACTAAAAGAGAAGGATGAATGAAAATCTCAATTTTGTTAATTTATTCAGTGTTGGAATTTGCAAACTATTTTCTCTCTATCCTCATATTTCCCATTTTAATACAAAGATTAGCAAGGCTTTTGCGAATTCCGTAAAAGAAATCTCAATTGTGTTAATTTATTCAGTGTTGCAATTTGCAAACTATTTTCTCTCTATCCTCATATTTCCCATTTTAATACAAAGATTAGCAGGGCTTTTGCGAATTCCGTAAAAGAAAATCTCAATTGTGTTAATTTATTCAGTGTTGCGATTTGCAAACTGCTTTTCTGTATCCTCAAATTTCTCATTTTAGTACAAAGAGCCACAAGGCTTTTGTGTATTCCCTAAAAGAAAAGGATGAAAGAAAATCTCAGTTGTAATATTCTAATGCTCTTTTTGTTAAAAATAATGGAGAATCTCATCAACATCTCAAGAGCAAACAGAGAAAAGATCTTACAAAATCTACAGTCCAAATGATCTCTACAGTCCAAATGATCTCCTGGGCATTAGCTCCAACAATTGAATATAATTTAGGGATAAAAGGATTATTTGCCACTCGTTATGATAGTGTTGAATTAATTATTCGCGTGATTTATTACCATGTCGTACACAATGGATAGAGGTGAATCCTCGGACAAGAGGGAGAGAAGAAAATAAAATAAAATAAATGGCAGTGGTGATCCTCACAAGTAATCTTGATGATGGTGGTGATCGCTGCAGGTGGCGAAGCGGTGTCGCCGTTGTTGTTCAGCTTCGGCTCCAGCTCTGGCCAGCAACAGCCATGGACAGCTTGTTGCTGTAGCAGGGGCATTTCTGGCATCACAGACAACATCCCATATGCTGCAAATGGTACCAAGCTCTTACAGAAATAAAATGCAGATCACTTCATCATGACAGTAAGCATGATTTTATACCAAGGTCCAATATATTTATATATTCTCAGTGCCCGGCTTGATTGTCGGCCACAATTCACACCAATTTCACAACTTGTAAGCACGGGATTGCTCACCCAAAATCCACCACAGAAACTCTCGTCTGAGCTCAAAACAGTAAGAAAAAAAAAGTATGTACATGCTAGTAGAAGTGCAAAAGTGGCTGAGGGAAGTTTGTTGTAAACAGTTTCAGTTCTATATTTTTTTTAGGAGAGCATGCTGCACACAGTTTCGATCAGTTTGTCGCGTCGACCTTCTCTTTCACATCTTGAGATGCTGGAACTGGAGCTGCAGTTTCTTGTTCCTCCAAATCTGAGCGTGCTGTTTCTTCTGCATTACCTCCTTGACTGCTGATACCCTCCTCTTCTATCCTCTTCCCCAAGAGAACAGTATACAGGCCCACAACCATCAGCGCTCCGCTTATTATGCTGTTCATCAGACAAGAGAATTTTAAGAAAAAGTTGCTGTTATTCTTAAGTTTTAAAAGGCAAAGCTTGTTTAATTAGCAATCGAAATGGCACCTTCCCAGGGTGACTGCTTCTCCAATGAGTAATTCAAGAATGATAGTGATGACCAGAGTCAGGGGTACTGTCATGCACAAAAATACTGGACCCCTCTTGTCAATAATCCAAATTTGCATGTAAAATGAAATTGCGGAAACAACAATGCCCTGCAATTATTTTCAGTAAATTCAGAGGTTACCTTTTTTTTTCTTTGACTAAAAGACTTGCTTTTGTAGTTTTGTTGAACGTTGAGAGAGATCCATCTTAATAATAGCAATATAAATGAAGAGCTTCTGTTGTATTCTCTGTAGATCTTAGAACTCAAATATGCAGTTTAGAAAACTGAAAGCATCATTTCAACCATTTGTTGCAAGCGACCAGTACAGCAGTACCATACTAACAAACAAGATGACATTTTCTTTTTCGTAAGTTATGGCTGTGATTAGTTGCCTGGATGATATTGGGCCAAGCTAACCCAAGGATACAAAGGGTGAGTGTTTGGTTGTCATTGGATGGTTCTAAATAGTATTCACTGCATGGGGGTGTTCGATTGCATGTTTAGATGCACCAAAGATGTTTCAAAAAAGTGTTAGTATGACTACAATGCACAATTACGCATTATTTTACCTTATTACAATGTTAACAATTAATACAAACTAATCACTCAGTAAATATGTCATAAGCAACGTCTGGTTCTACAGCTGTGACAGATTTGGGTATACTAAGCAGCCCTAGCCCAGGAGGGGGTCTTTGAGCAAGCAATGCATCACATGGGCTTGGCCTAACGACCATCATGCAAGTATGCAACAAGTACGTCCTATCTTTGACTAGAAGAATTTCCAACATGAATGGGGTAACAAAGAACTCAGCAGATCAGGTCTATTCAGGAACACCCAAGGAAACTCATGTTTTCACTTTGTGTAGTCTAACATCAAATGGTTAAAGAGAAACAAATAAAGAAGTTTTGACACTCATCCTGCTTTAGGGTAACTAAATTATTAGTCAACATAATCTAATTAATATTTTAACTTACACAATAGATGATGGCAACAAGGCCTATATCGAAACCAAGCTTCCATCTTGAAAAGTCTCTCTCAAGCACTAGAGCCATAAAAAATGATTGAACAGCCGAGAAGACTATCTGGAGAGTTGTGTTGAGTAGCTTAGACGGGTATTCCTCTAACAGAGGTCCCTGGGAAGTACCATGTCAGCTAAACTTTAGACAAATAAATTAGCAAACACAGCATAATGGACTTTGCAAGCTTTTACCTGAAGTACTGCCCAAAGAGCCCACATTAAAGTCGCCAAAAACTGCAAGAAAATTCCTAGTATCCAGTTCCTTGAAGAATGAGTACCAACACGGTTTGTGTGAGGAAAAAGGTGGTGCTTGATAAAAGACTTCAGATCAGGTCCCTGGTATAATGCTAGCACAGAAACTCCAACAGCACAAAACACTATGCCAGAAATTTTCACGATTCCATGGCACATCTTTAATTTAAAAGACTCCATCCTACAATATGTAGAACAAATCATCGTAACTCCACCAAAGTTTGATCATATAATTTACTCGTATTTAATAAGCTATTTTATGTCATAGTTGATTAAGTACCAACTCTTAGCAAACTAACTAAAACTAGAGAAACAAAGAACGAATTACTTGACCAAAATTTCTAGGATGAGATGCAATTATCATACAAAAACACTTACCCCATAAGAACAGCCAAAAAGAAAGTTAATACTGGCATGATATTTTGTACTGCAGAAGCAGCTGTTGCTGAAGAATAATTGAGGCCAATGCATGATATGTTCATCGCAGCAGACATCCTTGGCAGATTTCAACACAAGTTATATTAGCACAAAATTGAAGAATCATTTTTTAAAAGTACGAGCTTTGGATAAAATTTCCAAAGAAAAGGAGTTGGTAAAGTTAAGATACAGTAGATTTTACCTTCCCTACCCAGACGAATCACTAGCATGTTTAGTTACAGTACTGGAGAATCTTAGATTTAATATGGCATCAGTTCTTTTTTTTTCTCAAACACAATTGAATCAATTGTCTCTGGTTAAGATTAGATCATTGTGATGAAGAAATTATATACAAAGTTAAACAAAAATGAGGGAAGCATGGCGCATCTTTTCTTGCTTGAAAAAAAAATAAATTATACAATATAGTACCAACAATTGTCTGATATTCCCATATTGAGAATTCCAACAAAATATGAAATGATATATATTCCATAGTATTGCAAAAAGAATGCTTCATCTAGCAAGTTATCTGATAGAAGAGAAGACAAAGAAATGCTCATCTAGCAAGTTATTTGCTAGAGGAGAAGACTAAGTAACAATTCATCCTCACTACAGATCCATTTGGTGCTGCCTTGGACTATGGTTATCTTGTTTGGTAATTGATTTTTGACATTTTCGGCATTTAGTGAAGTGCTTTTCTTTTAATCTATGTTACAAATGATAATACCATTGTGTTCCGAATAGAAGAGACATGGAAATTGACTTAGAATATTTTTTCTAACATTCTAAACTTAGAAGACGGAATACGGTTATCGGACGGAAAGGGTATTGTTCACCAATTAATAGGAACACGGACGATTAATCGGAATTATACGGAAATTTAACGTTCGCGAATATATGTACAAATTTTATAATATTATATACTTATTTGAAGATTTAGATGTGTACAACTATATAAATCAAATATGTTCATGTTGTTTTTTAATTAAACAGATAAGTAAGACATTAACTCTTCTAACACCGGATTTATATATCACATGGTAGTAGAATTGGTTGCATTAAATAACTAAAACATAAAAATATATGTTACAAAACAAAAACAATTCTAAATTAAGTAAAACAAACTACTCTAAATCATCATCAAATACAACGTATAGACGATTATTCGGGTGATTAAACGGAAAACGACCAACTAATCGCTATTTAGCATTTAGCAATCGGGCCTCATATTTAGCATTTTCCTATGCGAATTTCCCATAACAGCACGAGGGATTTCCATCTACTACAGAACAGCAATTATACTTTGACTTACCCACATAGTGCATGCACAAATAGCTTCAGAGAGACTTTGAGTGACAGTGGTGGGGCAGTTTTCCTGCAAAAATAAACATCAATGACTCAATATACGCTTCCAAGAAAATATCCACTTATCAAGGGAAAATTACAAGAAAATGCGCATACACACTTCCAAGATGATATCCACTTATCAAGGGAAAATTGCAAGAAAATATGCTTACCTTTCTACTGCCAAAGCAACAGGCAGTAAGACTACTGCAGCTATTATATTTCTGTAGAAAACAAGAACATATGTACTTGTGCCTTGGCTAAAAGCAACCTTGGTCAGTATCTGCATCACTCCATAAATAAACCTTATGAGGAACACGACAACATGAGGAGCAGCGTTGCCCATTATACTTGTGTGTTAGAATGTTGAAGGTGACTTCTTAAATACTACCATCAATGCACCAGGAGATTCTACAAATCATATCTTCATCGAGTTTTTTTTTTAAAGCTATGTCTTCATAGAGTTAGTTTCTTCTAGATGTCCACTTAAACAAATCTATATCATACTTATATAGAGGACACACAAGCTGCTCACTGTAATCATAATTACAAAAAACTTTACAATAAAATAGCTAAAGGTGTTTAGACCTAACAAGTTGGTTATATATTTCAGCATGTACTTTTGCAACAGTAGAAGTTAGACAGCTTGAGACATATTTTTGAGACAAACTAGATATCTCAGCACAAAGTGCCTCAATATTCAATTGGTTGCATGAGGCGTCTTATTTTCAAAAAGCATCCCTAAAGATTTAGAGCATCCATCGACCAACACTTGAATATTGCTCGATGCAAAGCCATGTGCACTAGCAAATTTAAAGTGGTAGAAAAAATTTCACACAGAAGAAACAATTATGTTGTATTCTCATACATACTTGACAATATAAAATGATTAAACTTCAACTTTAGTTTGCCTTTAAAGATATGGTATCATAGATACAAAGTAATTTTGCTCTGCTTATATTAGCAATTCCGAGTAACTGCTGATTCTATCATAGCGTTTAGTTAAAGGACGGGGCAATAATATGGTATTCAACCAGGTCCATATAAGTCTTAACTAGTCTCACAGTGTTTCGTCGAGTTTCATAAAGGTTTCAGTGAGTTTTATCCAATTTCACAGGTTTCGGATACTAGCAATGATAAAATCATAGTTTCAAAAGGTTTTAAAGCAAGTCTGAACAAGTTCCAAAATTGAAAAGTGCAAGTATCAGCGAGTCTCAAAATTGAAACTTCAAGTTCAAATCAAGTTTCAAAAATTGGATCATCAGGTTCCAAACCTGAAACTTAATGGCTTAAAAGAAAATGATCTCAAGCTTCAACTAGAATTTGTTCTCATTTACTTTAGTTCTAGGCTTGAAATTTGAGTTCAGAAAAGAGCTTCAAGAAAGTACAAAATTTTCATTCAAAAATTCAAGTGTTAGTCTCCTGCGTGTTCGATAAAAAAAAAATTCAAGTGTAAGTTTCATAGAAAAATTCAAGTGGAGACAGTGTACAAGCTCAGACCTTCTACAAGTCTGCATGCTCAAGCAACCCCTTGCCCTGCTTGCCACTGGCCTGCAGCCAACATCAGCTTTCGCTTGCTTACTGTGCACCTGGTAGCCCTGGCGCAGTGCTGCAACCTCTCATGACATGCTTCGAAAACATCCAGGTTACTTGCAGCCATTGCCATTCAATGCGTACCTCTTGGCACTGTGAACATCTCTCGTGGTAACAACAGAGAGAGAAGGGGAACATAATGTGTGCTGTGGATGAAGCAGGTGAACAGGTAGTTCTTGTCAAAACAAAGCAAGTGAAAGGTAGTAACCCATTATACCCATAAGGCTCTTTCTAGGAGAACAGTGATCATGGGACTCTCCGAATAGGATGATGTAAATACATCTAGTTGAAAAAGGAGTCAACAAGATCCTGTTTTGAAGGTTCCTGTTCGGTAAGCTTAAAATGTACTTCCTCCGTCCCACAATACTTGTCTTTCTAACATTCAAAAATTATCCCAAAATAGTTGTCACTTCGAAGTAGTACTTGCCACATCAATCACTTCCAATTCAAATTTCTCCCCATTATACCAACAACCACCATTCCACATCCAACTATACATTATTAATCAAGGGGTATTATAACCTTAGTACATGCTAAATAACCTATAACGACAAGTATTTTGGGACGGAAGTAGTACCCCCTCCATATTTGTATATGATGTTGGCTACGGTCATATAAAAAAAATGGAGGGAGTATTTACTTTTATCAAGAATCACAGCTCCAACTTTCAACCTTATGGTGAGTACTGCTAAGTTAGTGATTTCAGAGTATCTATTCCTTTCTAAAAGGAGGTGTACCCTTTTTGAAGACATCTTTCAGTGCAACATTAAAATAATACAGCTTTGCTCAGGGTGGAAGGATCAGTAGTGGAGCAATTATTCAGTATACTAAATTTGGAAAAGGAAAAGGTAGAACTAAAGGACAATGAGCAAAGTGAGTCTATGAGGAATGTGTTGGATGGTATAGGGAGAGATATACTGCGTAACGTGTATCGATTGTATTAAGCCTCAGGGGGCCGATATATATAGGAGTACATGGGGAGGAGATAAGGAAGGATTAAAGATATGGAAGGAGTCCACACAAATCAATCCTATCCTAATATGGCTCTAACTACCATATACTCTAACAGAATGATTACAGGATAATCTTTGTCTTATCTAGAAAGACTAGAACTCTGCAAATCTTTCATGCTGTTTTAAAAAAATGAACCACGTTTCATGAAGCAATGTGGTTAGTGGTACAGCAGTGCAATACAATATAATTCAGCACTAAAATTACAATAAGCAAGATTCAAAAATTGTTTCTAGGAATAATTCAGTGCATCTGAAATTAATTTAAACAACAGGAATGATGTGCTAATGCCCAAGTGCCCAACACAGACACACACACACACACATACACACACAAGCTCGCAAAAAAAAAAAGTTAGACACCTACAAACCAGATTGTCTATTACTAGTTACTAGATAAATACCCATGCAAACAGGTAGCACTATGCTCATATGTTATACATACATGCTCAAAATTAAATTAGCATTTTTTTCTGGGAAAAAATAGATTACCATTACCTTACCATTGATATCAAAAGTTGTCTAGGCAAACAAGCTTAGTGCAGACCAACATACATCTATTTATTGTTAAAATAATTAAACTCATGTGTTCTACTTGGTGCCCGCCTAGGCGCTAGGCACCATACCCCAGCCTAAGCCATCAAGCTACTTTTTCCTACCGGTTACAGTCAGTCTGCCTTTGCGGCAGTTAGGTGCAAAGCATCGCCCTGCCACCATGCCACTGCATAGCACCAAGGGGAACACTGAAACTTATACAGCAAATTGCCATACAAGATCTGCAACACTGCATGCGAGTATGACATCACCTTACGATTAGACAGTGTGGAAAGGACACTCAACTCCTCTTGTCACCAGAAGAACCTTGAAACAAACAAGAAATTCCAATGATTTAGCCCCCCATCTTCATTCTTAACTACTTTACATATTTTTTTCCAATTCCTACAATAATTTTAAAGAGATCATCTCAACTTCTGACAACAGCTGGAAATTTTAATGGTCTGTTCCCGTTATGGTGGGAAGGTAGAGAAGGAAGTGGAGGTACTAACTAATTCTAACTACACTTCTTGCAATTCTTTTCAACTGCATAAGTATCCAGATGACATGTTTGCACATATATTCTAAAGAATAGATAACATATCTTCAACGAATGCAATTCAAGCACACATGATTTCAATATAGCACGATCAAATTTATAATATACTGTTTGCCTGATTGATTGGAACCTTTATTTTACTCAAGATTGTGTGATTGGGCCATTTTTTTAGACTAACAAATTGGTAATTTAGACAAAAAAAAATTGAGCCTAGGTGGAGGCTGGAGAGTATGATTAAAAAAATGACTAATAGTGAGCAACTACCAAATTTGTAAATATATTACATTATTTTTTTAAAAAAAAGAAACTAAAATAGCACATTACAAAGTAGTTGTGCCTCAGAAGCAAGTATGTATCCATGGGGGCAGTCTGTCATGCAGAAAAATTGCTTATAGCCACTCCTCGCTTCGAGCCTCTATAGCAAGTAGGCTAACTGGCTTGAAATTAGCTAAAAGATGACAAAGCAGTTGGCGCGTAGAAGCAAGCATTATATGCTCATGCAGGAGTTTTAGTAAATGGTGGTGATGTAAAAAAGATGACAGACTTGGGGATTGCATAGTAGTGATTGTTACATAGAACATCATGCTAAACATTTTAATGTAACCAGAGAAGCACACTAACTCTCAAAAAAGCATCACTGGCGATAGCTACACAAAATGGTGAGAATGTGCACATACTACTTTTGGCAAAGCTCAAAATGGTCGGCCTGATTTCTTCTTTCCAAAGATCACCTCCCAAATGACCGGCGAGAATGGACCTTTCTTGTCCAAGTGCTCCCTGATGGACTTCTCATCAATGGCAAAGTTCCTGTCCTGGAAACTCCTCACGAGCTTCTCAGCCTCCTCTACCCCCTTAGCCTTGCATACCTCATCAACCAAGCCCACAAAGGTCATGGCATTCGGCGAATGCCCAGCCTCAAACATCTCCACGCAGAAGGCAACTGCATCATCCAGCCTCCCACCCTTGCACAGCCCCTGTATTAGCAACCAGTAGCTGAAGGCGTTCGGAATAACCCCATTCCCCTGCATCTTCTTGAAAATCCTCACAGCATCGTCAAGCTTGCGTGCCTTGCAGAAAGCCTCGACAACCGCGGTGTAGACGACAACCTCAGGGATGGAACCCTTCTCTCGCATAAGACCGAACAGCTTCATGGCCTCCTGCACCAGCCCGCTCTTGCACAGGCCGTCGAGCATGGCGACGGCGTTCGGAATCAGCCCAGTCTCCTTCATCTTCCTGAAGATCTCGTCCACGTCCTCCGGCTGCGCCGCCTCGTGCTCAGGCGGCGGCGGCTTCGTCGGCTCGCGCTCAGGCTGCGGCCGCTCGCCGCTGTTTCCCGCGGCGGAGGTGGCGGCTGCGTCGCCCAGCTTAAGCTTCTCCATCAGCGATTCCCCGATGGGTTGCTGCGGCGGCGGCAACGGCTGTTTCCCGGCGGCGCGTCGGAGGATGTCGGTGGGGAACGCGGCGTGTGGGGAGGAGTCGTCGGGGGCACCTCCGGGTCGTCGAGGCGGCGGCGGCGGCGGTGGCGGGGGGTTGTTCTCCGGGTCGGCGCTGAAGTTGAGGGTGCGGAGGAAGGCCTCGTCCTCCTCCTCCTGCCGCGCCTCGCGGATCACCCGGCGCCGGCGGTCGCCCGTGGAGTAGGGCCTCCTGATCCCATCCGCCCCTCCGAGGAGGAGGAGGCGGCGGAGCCCTCCGGATCTCGCCGGAATCTGCAAGCTCATCATCTCCCTTCTCCTTCTCCCGTGGCGGCGGAGCAGCAGCAGGGTTAGGAGGAGGAGAAACCGCAGGTGCGAATGGGGTTTATGCGCGGAGGCTGACGAGTGGGGCCCACATGTCATTCGGGGAAATTACAGAACTACTACTTCGAGACCACCCACGCGGCCACGCGCGTCTCGCCATGTCCGTGTCGCGCATTCCGCCGAGCACCCTGACGTCGCTCCTCCCGCGCGCCCTCAACCCGCGCGTCGCCGTCGTCGACCTCGTCGCGGGCCACCTCACCGCCTCCGACGCCCCCGACGAGGCGAGGCCCATCGAGGATGAGCTCTCCCGGCTGCTCCCCTACCTCGGCAGCGACGAGCTCACCGCCGTCGTCCTCCGCGCCGGCCACTCCCACCCGCTCCCCACCCTCCGCTTCCTCCTCGCGCTGCCGCCGCCGGCGCAGCCCTCGCCGACCCACCTCGCCTTCCTCGCGGGCTCCCTCGCCTCCTCCCGCCTCTTCTCCCAAGCCCTCGACGCGCTCTCCCACCTCCTCCGGCTCCACCCGGGCCACGACGCCCTCCCCACGCTCCTCCGCTCCAGCGCCACCGCGCCGCACCCCTCCCTCCCGGGCCTCCTCGTCAAGGCCCTCCTCCGCCACGCCCGCCTCCGCGACGCGCTCCGCGCCGCCCTCCGCGCCACGGCCGCCGGCGCCCCGCCCGACGCTGCGGCCTTCAACGCCCTCCTCGCCGCGCTCTCCCGCGCGGGGCGGTTCGATGACCTCTGGGCCGCGCGCGCCGTCATGGCGCGCGCCGGGGTGCGGCCCAACGCGCACACGTTCAACATCCTCGTCGCCGCCCTGTGCCGCGGGGAGGACGCCGAGCGCGCGCAGGGGTTCCTCGAGGAGCTCGAGGAGCAGGGATTCGAGCCGGACGGGGTCACCTACAACACCCTCCTCTCAGGCTACTGCCGCAGGGGAAGGCTCCAGGACGCGCTGCACCTGTTCGACGTAATGCCATACAGACGTGTGCAGCCAGACTTGGTCTCTCATACAGTTGTAATGGATGCGCTGTGCAAGGCCGGGAGGGTGCGCGATGCTCGGCGGATGTTTGACAGGATGATCCAGAGTGGGTTGAGCCCTGATGCTGTTGCTTATAGTGTTCTTATCGCCGGGTACTGTAACGAAGGGAGGTTAAGGGAGGCAAGATTTCTGCTGATGGAAATGGTCGGGTGTGGGTTCTCATCAGAAGGATTTGCTCTCAAGGTTGTGGTAGAAAGCCATGTAAAATTCAGTAAGCTGCTCACCTGCTTGAACATGGTGGCACCTATAAGAAAGCATGGTGTTGTCATCCCATCGCAGAGTTACAGTTGCTTGATTGGTGCATTGTGCGAGGATATGCGCCCTAATGCTGCCAGGGGTTTGTTGCATTGGATGATAGAGGATGGGCACAGCCCTAGCTTGGCAATTTATAATATGATCATAGAGTGCTTCTGCCAATGTGACATTGTGGAGGAGGCTTTAGATGTCAAGGTTGAAATGATCTCAAGAGAAGTGAGACTGGACTTCAATACTTATCGAGCACTCATAACCTGCTTTTGCAGGTTGGGAAGGAGCTTAGATGGTGAATCGATAATGGCAGAGATGATTGAATCTGGCTTCCAACCAAATGAAGCTATTTGTTCTGCATTGGTTTGTGGATTTTGCAAGGAAGGAGCCCTTAATAGGGCAGAATTAATTCTGAGGGCTTTTGTTCTTGATTTCCATGTCCATTGCAACGAAAGCTATAATGCTCTGATGAGAGCTTACTGCGAAACCACAAGCAGCAAGGAGTCATTAGAATTGCAGAACAGGATGTTGGAATTGGGTTTTGTCCCAAACAGTGAGACATGCAGATCACTTATTCTTGGCCTTTCAAAAAGTATTGATCTAGTTTCCAGTGATGATGGTTTTTCATGCATTAGTAGCAAGGATAATGGTGGAAATGCTGAGTGAATACACACAAATTCTAGGCTACATGCTCCACTCATGAACGAAGAGTATAGCAGATTCATTGGTTCCATAAGTTTCTGGTGGCAGTTTATCTGGCAAACACAATTTTGAGCTTTCATCAAATTTACTCTGACAGCTTAGTTGCCAATAGAGTAAGACATGCTGCTTGATGACCATGACTCTTTGCATCACAATGGTAAACAAGGTTTAGAGCACCAGAACCAGGACAGAGCGACTATGCTCAAAGCCTGCAACAGATTGTATAGGTGGGATTGTTTTCCCTGGATTGGAAGCAAGTGACCATACAATGAACTATCCATAGTATGAGCCTCTGTTCCATGTTGTCTTTGTTGCGCAGTCGTATGTGCATGGGTAGTATACAGCAGGTACTTGGTTTTGGACATACACTACTAAGGACCTTTTGGGGATGAATTCAATATCTGAAGGCACATGTGTGCTGTGGTGAGATTAGCGGTGCATAGAGTTTATATAGGTTGAGACTACTCCCTCCGTCCCATAATGTTAAAACCTAGGACTGGATAGGACGTTTCATAGTACAATGACTCTGAGTCATTGTACTATGAAACGTCCTATCCAGTCCTAGGTTTTAATATTATGGGACGGAGGGAGTAGCACATAAACTCATATGTTCATTAAATTAGGTGCTGAAGGGGATTTGGATAACAGCTTTACAGTTCCAAAATGGCAGAACGATGTTTTGCTTCTGCTGATGCACAGAGGATAGAGCAAGGTGATGAACCAAAAACCAAAATCAGAATCAGATGTCCATCATATTGCTCCTGCCCTCATTCAGTGACTCCAAAACTCAGGTGGCTCAATTTATAACTCATTGCATATACTTTGAGTTCGTGACGTACAATTTGGTCTTGTGCTTCACCATCCTTTTTCTTGATGATCTGATCTCGGCCACCGTTTTTTCCAAAGCTAGGCAGTTAGTCTACATTTTCAACCTTATTTAGCACGCATTTGTAAACTGACAGCTGTGCTTCATTTTCAGGCTGAGGGGAATGGACATGATCGCTTCCGAGTACAATGAATCCCCAGGCGTTGTATATACTTGTATCCCATTCCCACGTGTGATCCAATGAAGATGATTAGCCAAGTCCAGTGTGAGTTTCTGTTCTTGAATCCATCTTCCTCAACCAAGAAGACGCTGTGTGTAGAACATAAACAGACGTAGGAAACTACCAAGAAGAAATGACGAAGTTACTGCTCTCCTCATAATGGGAAGTTATGCGATTCAGTTTTATACTTGTATTCTGTTGGCTTCATCTGTTACTTCGTTAAGGTTTCTTGATGGAAAACATCAAAATTCGTTCTGACCTACACTCATCTTGTCACACGTCATCAGTTGATTGGCTTGTAGTAGTACTTTTTAGATTGTTAGTAGCACCTGAGCATAATTGGGATTCCAATCAATTGGAAGAGAGATGTCATATATCGTACTGGTTGCATACTTCTGTAGCCTCATCTTTTCGCTTATGCTTATGATTATCAGCCAAAATTTGAATTTTCAACTTTAAATTTGAAGTTGATTTTAGGTTTTTTTTTTTAATCAAAGTTTATTTTCCAGCCTTTACTTTTAAATCGTTAAGAATACGTATAACTTTTTTTCCACAAATTATTTTTCGTTTACAAATATGTCGTCTGGGTCGTCTTCATTTTTAGCATGTTTATAGTCCTTTTATCTTTTCAAGTAGATTTCCAACAAAGAATGATGATGTTGTGTGCAAATATGAACAATTGAACTTGTGATTGTGGGTTAAATTCATTGCTTAAACTTATTTTATGAGGATTACACACGTGCATGATTATTACACGATTATTACTTGGTAATGATGTACTGACACACTAAATGGATAATACATGAATATTTCTTTTTGATATACACTAGTAACATGGATGGATGGATCACTCGCCCGGTGGCCTCGGCACGGGCTGCCACCCGGCGCACAGCTGCACCACCTCCTTGAGCGCCGGCGACGCCGCCTCCATGGTCCACCTCTCGTAGTACTCCTCCGGCCTGAACACCGCCGCGTCGCCGCCGTCCACCAGGCACGGCCGCGCCCCGTTGAGGAAGGCGTCCCCCTCCGACCTCACCCACCCGGCCTCCGCCTCCTCCCGGTCCGCCGCCCTCTCCGGCACGTACCTGAACACCGCCTTCCTCTCCGCCCCGGCCTCGTACACGTTGCACTGCGACGCCACCTGCGCCTCCACCCCGGCGGCCACCGCGTAGATGCCCCACCCCCTCGTGTAGTTGTTGTACAGGTGCGCCCTCCCGAACCGCACCCGCGGGTGGCGCTGCCGCGTGCCGTCGAAGAAGCAGTGGTGGACGGTGACGCGGATGCCGCGGTCGCCGGTGTGGGACGGGTCGGCGCCCACCAGCATGGTCTTGTCGTGGCGGGAGAAGCGGCACCGGGAGACGGTGACGTCGGTGCTCCCGCGGGTGATGTCCACGAGGCCGTCGTCGCAGTCGGCGAGGCTGCAGCGGTCGATCCAGATGTCGGCGGAGGAGGGCTTGATCTGGATGGCGTCCACGTCGTGGCCGCGCCCGCCCTCGATCTGGAGGTTGCAGACGATCACGTGGCGGCACTCCTTGAGCTGGAGCCCCTTGCCCAGGAGGCGCACGCGCTGGCCGCGCCCGTCGATGGTCTTGTGGGAGGTGACGCGGAGGTAGGTGCGGAGGTGGATGTCGCCGGAGACGTCGAAGACGATCCAGAGCGGGCCGTGGGCGCGGCACGCCTGGCGGAGGGTGCCGTGGCCGTCGTCGTCGAGGGAGGTGACGCGGTAGAGCGGGCCGTGGAGCCCGCCGATGGCGCGGCGGCCGAAGCCCTCCGCCGCGCCGGCCAGCGCGCGGAGGGTGCGGTCGGCGTCGGCGTACGGCATGACGGGTCCTCCTCCTCCGGCCGCGGGGTGAGGCGGGTGGTGCATCGCGGAGGCGGAGGGGGCGTTGGATTCGGCAGGTGAAGGAGGAGGGGGGAAGGGGGAGGAGCAGGAGGCGCCCATGGCGGCGCTAGATGGCCGCGCCGCCGTGCCGTGCGGTGCGGATCGGATCGGATTAAAACTAAACCAACGCGACACAAAAATGTTAGTACTAGCTCAAATTTGGATCTGAGATCTGACCAAACGGAGAGAAGCGGTGCGGCGGTGATGAGGCACGGCAAGCGAGAAGGACAGTGGTGGCGTCGGTGGAGAAGCGGAGTCGAAGGGAAGACGTGCGGCGTGGCGGAGTACGGGAGAAGAGGCACTCTGGTAGTAGAAGATGACCTCGGCGTCGGCGTTGACGACGCGGCTGTGGTAAAGCGTTACCAAAATTAGGTACACTGCATTATGGAGTGGCCAATCCGCCGGCGTGGTCTGTCTCGGTTGGTCACCGATCGGTCGCCGTCTATATTCGTGATGTTGTCTGAATTGCAATAGTGTCTGAAGATGATTTGCAATAGCGGCTGTGTTCTTTTGAGGGGTTGCCTCCTCTTGGCACGCAAAAGGAAACGACGAGTTAAACGTATGGTTAATCAAGTATTAGCTGGATTGATATAATATTTTACAGCAACTTTTTTATAAAAACGTATCGTTTAGCATTTTCGAAAGTTTGCGCGTGGAAAACAATAGAGCCTTAGTCCATTTTATATGTTAGGTTGCTCGAGGAAAATAAAGAAATAAGTCTATTTTGTGTGATCTTTTGCTACTTTTTATATGTTAGGTTGCTCGAGGAAATTAAAGGAATAAGTCTATTTTGTGTGCCTGATCTTTTGCTACTGATTAAGGCTGTGTTCTTTCCCTTGAGTTCCCAACTCATCTTACTCGTTTTCCGCGTGCACACTTTTTAAACTGATAAATGGTGCGTGTTTTGTAAAAAGTTTATATATGAAAGTTGCTTTAAAAATCGTATTAATCCATTTTTAAGTTTTATATAGCTAATACTTTATTAATTATGCGTTAATCTATAGCTCTGTTTTGCGTGCGGAGGGGAGGGGTTCCCAACTCCTCCAAAAGATCACAACCTAAATCAACTCTCTCAACCATAAAACCAGGTATAACGTCTTCCCCGTCTTTCACAAACCAGTGTGACTTCTTCGGTAGTTTAGGAAGTGGTTTTTCTAGCATGGCAAGTTAACCATGGTAGACTTGCTGAGTCAGTAGGTGGGGTTCCACTTGTCAGGGATCGATGGAAGAAATTCTTCTCTCCTCTTCTCTTCTTCGCTCCTCTTCTTCCTCACATGAGCGCGACCGAGCGGAGCTCCCGTGTCGTTGAGTTGTCCACCCCTATCGTCGTTGCTGCAGCGGCAGCCCTAGAAGAGGAGGAGAACTACGATAGCGGAAGCACCCACAACAACGGCAACATCCGCATGGAGAAGCCATGGAAGGAGACCAAGTAGGTGTGGATCAGCGGGCCGCCCTCGCACCACTCTCCTCCTCCACCCCCGACACCATTGTCACCGCTGTCGTACCAGTGCGCATGGGCTACAAACGCCGATGGCTTCGCGTCCGCATCCACCGCGTGGTGAACGTCCTCTACCATCCTCCTTCACCCCTACCCTAGACGCCTTAGACAGCCACATCCATAACCTCCACCACCAGTAAGAGAGGGAGAGATGTTGATGACACCATAGCACAATGCCAGATCCAGAGAAATGCTGACTAGGCCTAGTTAGGACGAAGAGGATGAGATGAGGAGGAAGTTGCTCATATGTGGGTTACACCTGCTGACTCAACACGTATACCACGATCAACCTGTCATATCAGTAAAAACCGCTTCACATCATCGAATGAGTCTATTTGCACCGTTTTTTAAAGATGGGGAAGACATTATACCCTGTTTTAGAGTTGAGGGAGGCGATTCAATCTGCATTGAAGGCAAAATAGACTTATATTTCCGAAAAATAAAAGAGCAACAAGAAGGAATAAGTCCACTTTGACTCCCTTAAAAGTGACCCGAATCTAATCCATGACTCTAAACCGCAAAACAGATATCTCGACCCCTGAATTATTGAAACCGGTGCAATTTGACTCCCTTGGCGGTTTTGGAGGGTGGTTTCATTGACGCGGTGGTGTTGACCTAGTCTGTTGGGTTGACGTGGCGCTTAGGTGGCATTTGAATTAAAAAGTATACGTGGGACCCATTTGTCATTCACACACATAAAAAATGTGGGGCCCACTGACACATGTCATCCTCTCTCTTTCTTCTTCCTCCCCTCTTCTTCCCTTCTCTCTTTCTTTCTCTTTCTCTCCCCTTCGGCCAGCCGCGGGGACCACGGGCTGGAGCGGCGGCGGATGGGGGCCAAAGTGGTGGCGACCAGCGGGAGCTGAAGCAGCGACAGTGGTGGGTTGGAGCTGATGCCCCAGCTCGGGCAGGTGTCCACTCAGGTCTCTCCCTGGCACCCTCGGGCCACGCCGGCACCTAGCTCTTGGACCACCGAAGCCGTCGACCGCCATCCCTCCGCTCGATCTTCTCGGCGTCAGCGTTGTCGTCGGCGCTGTCGTCCTCTCCCCCCTCCTTACCAGCCATCGAGCTGCTTGCTGCTGCTCCAGAACCCGCCGTCAGCTCCAGCCCACCACCGCCACTGCTCCCATCGCCGCCGCCACCGCTTCAGCTCTTGCCGACCGCCACCACTCTGGCCCCCGCCCACCGCCGCTCTAGCCCGTGCTCTCCGCGGCCGGCCGAAGGGGAGAGAAAGAGAAAAGAAAGAGAGAAGGGAGGAAGAAGGAAAAGAGAGGATGACATGTGGGGCCCACATGTCAGTGGCCCCCACATTTTTTATGTGTTTGAATGACAAACGGGTGACGCATATACGTTTTTAATTCAAATGCTACCTAAGCGCCACGTCAACCCAATAGACTACTAGGACAACACCACCACGTCAGTGAAACCGCTCTCCAAAACCGCCAAGAGAGTTAAATTGCACCAGTTTCAATAGTTCGGGGGTCGAGATATCCGGTTTTGCGGTTAGGGCCATGGATTAAATTCGGGTCACTGTTAAGGGAGTAAAAGTGGACTTATTCCCAACAAGAAATAGCCCCACGAAACGAGCCCAGAAAGCCCAGTAACCAAACCGTCCCGTCCCTTCCAGAAAACCACCGGCGGCACAAATCGCGGCTGTCCCCGACGACGACGACTCCGAATTCGGGAGGACCGAAGCGGCGCAGGCTCCAATCTCCATCTCCACCTCGTGAAGCAGGAGACTCACCGCTCCCGACGGAGAAGATGGCCGGCGGCAGCTGCGGCGGCGGCAGCCGCGTGAAGGTGGTGGGGCAGGTGGAGCGGGTGGTCGGGGCGACGCTGAGCTACGCGGAGTTCGTCGACCGCTTCATGAGGCCCAACCTCCCCGTCGTCCTCACGGGCCTCACCTCCTCCTGGCGGTCCTGCCACGACTGGACGCTCGCCGCCGCCGCCGACCGCCGCGCCCCCGACCTCGACTTCCTCGCCCGAAGCTTCCCTTCTCCCCTCGTGCAGGTTAGCACCGCCCGCCAGTGTGCTCCTCGTTGGCTCGATTGCTCATTGAAATAGTTAAGACGCAGGCACGGGTGATGTCGGTCGGTTTTGTCGCAGGTTGCTGACTGTTCCTCGAGGGAGTTCTCGGACCAGAAGCGGCTCGAGATGTCGATGCGGGAGTTTGTCGACCACTGGGCTGCGAGTTCGAGCAATGGGGATTCTGATGGTTCCCTGCTGTACCTGAAAGATTGGCATTTTGTGAAGGTCTGACTAGATTCCGCAGCATGTGTTATGTTGGCTTTTGTTTGCTGAATTTGTGGTATCCTAACATTATCTAGGTTTCTTCTTGCGATCATATTAAGTGGCAGTGTCAGAAACTGCAATCGTATTTGCTATTAGTTTGGGCCGGGCAGACGTGAGATTTAGTCATGTATAACATAATTGTTGCTGTATATCTGTTTGTTTTATTTGTATGCCACAAAATTTTCTTTAGCAACTGAAATTATTAGGACCAATACAGTACAGTTTTAAAGCACATGATATTACATAGTTTCAACACTGAAGTCTATTCCAATTTTGTAGCCTTTTAGGCTATAGTCTATAGAGTAATATCAGTATGAGTTAATTCCACATGTGGTATATGCCTGTGCTTATAAGATTGAACTCTTCCTTTGATAGCTCCAACAATGGAGTGTACTGAATGCAATATTTTATTCTATTCCCAATTGATAATTCATCCCCTGCTCAATGTGGTTGATTTTGTATTGTCTTGACCTTCCAGGAGTACCCTGGTTATGTTGCATACACCACACCAACATTCTTTGCCGATGATTGGCTCAACATGTATCTTGATAGTCATCCTATACATCGAGATTCTGACATTGCCAACCATACAAATGAAATAAACTGTGCTGACTATCGGTTTGTTTACATGGGACCAAAAGGTAAGCTCTGTTTTAAGATTCTACTTATGTGTTGTTCTGAGCTTTACATGTATGACATTGAGGTGTTCTTTCTTCCGTGGCTATGAACATGATCACACATTAGATGTTACACTTCAATTTACTATCTTTCTTGTATTGTGATTTCATCTTCTACGTAGGAACTTGGACTCCTCTTCATGCTGATGTTTTTAGGTCATACAGCTGGTCGGCAAATGTATGCGGCAGAAAACTATGGCTCTTTCTACCACCATCACAAAGTCATTTTGTATTTGATAGGTAATTATTGAGTTGGATGCTTCTTAGAGTTGTGTTTCACTGTTAGATGAATTTTGTCAATTAGACAGCTGTCACTAATAAGAAAATTTGGAAATTGGTGATACTTCTTAGCAGCAATTGTTTCCTGTTTTCTTTGATGTAACATAATTCAAGAATGGCAACTCATGTTTTAGATAAGACATTAAATTGATCTTTTAGGAAATACATATATGGCATTATCTGGCTCTTTGCAACTATAAGAGTGAATTATAAGTTAGTTTTCTTTTCATGCAACTAGTATGCTTGATTCTTATGGATGTAAAGCAAATTTAAACAAAGGATAAAGATAAGTCTGTTTATTTCATAACTGGTGTGAGCTATTTCTATTCACTTAGAAGTGATAACTTCCTTCTGAAGTTTAACAACCTCAGCTTGGTAGTTCTGAATGGTGGATAAGTCTTAAAGAGTATGACCTGGATTTTGCCAAAGAACTTGCATAGTTTACCTTAATTTGCAGGCTTATCACATTTGTAACGTACCCTGTCTTTGTTGCAATGTATAGTTTCTGCAATCTATTAATAGCATCCATATGTAACTAATTTTCATTTGGCAATTTATCATGGAGTGTGATCTTGATTTAATTCTTTTGCTCTGTGCTGCCTGTTGTTTTTCCATGCTCACTTGATGAAATAGTACTGTCTATTGTTACCTAATTGGTGATTGTTGATTATGCCATGTAGGAACCTACGATCTTCGGTCTATAACATAAATGATGATGTTTCTGAAAAGCAGTTTCCTGAATTCAATAATGTATTTTCTCTCAGCAATACTTATTTTGAAAAGTTCATTTTGTAGCTCCCCCCCCCCTCCTCCCTGTGGTTTAATATTTTAAATGTTCCTTTTGTAGACTAAATGGCTAGAGTGCACTCAGGAGCAGAATGAAATCATTTTTGTGCCTAGTGGGTGGTATCACCAAGTCCATAACCTGGTAAATGCCTTCATCTTCAGTTCTTCACCACATGTTGATGCATTTGATATAATTTCAATGTTGGATTAGATCTGGGCTGCAAATGATAGCCGCCCTAAAAACAGAGTGAGAAGTAGCAAACCTGACCATTGAATCAGATTTGTTTTATTAAGATTAAATATAACTGCTGAACTGTCTGAAAGATCCCCCATAATTACTATAAATTCACTCTCACACCCTTCCAATCTTCCACTTCACAATAACATAAGCAATCTGTCTTGATCTAAACAATTAGATTTTGACTGAAAACTTGAAGGTGAGTTCTCATTATCCTATTTCGAGGATGGTCTGTACTAGATGTATCCAGCAGGAATGGATGTGGGTTTGCCTTCTTGTTATTGAATGACCACAGTTCAACTTCAACTATTATTGAACTGAAATATATTTTATGGTTGAAACTGTGTGCATCTTTAAAGTGGGATTGCTCAGCCTATACCAATTTATGGTGATTGAATCATGTGGGTCTGATCCCTATGACTGCAATTGGTGACCAACCAGAGCAACTTTTTGCTCCCAAACAAATTTCTGATGTCACTGTAACTCAACTTGAACTGCCTTTGAAATGGCAGTGAGGCACTCATTCATGCCACTCTACTCTTTGCATCTTTGCCGTTGGACTTTCTATTAAGGACCCCAGACACCCGCAACTGTCAGGAACTTATGAGTTTGTTCCCTTTTGCCATTTATTACAGGAGGATACTATATCAATAAACCATAATTGGTTTAATGGCTACAACCTTCATTGGGTGGTGAGCACGTAATTGTACAAACTTCATTTCAATAGCTATAGCATTTTTTTTTCTAACATTGTACACACTATAGTGGAACTTGCTTCATGAAGATTACAAGGTAGCAAAAGATTATATTGAAGACATTCGGGACATATGTGACGATTTTGAGGGACTATGTCAACGCAACTTAGCAGCAAATACAGGTAATGTTCTAATCATATGAAGAAACATAACAAATGACATACTTTCTGATAACATCATGTTGGGTTTCTCATTTCAGGCATGAACTTCTATGACTTCTTCGTCTTCATAACACGTTTTGCTTTAGCCAATATAGTTGAGCTTTACCATATTCAGAATCCAAAAGATACTGACTTCATTTCAGCCGAAACTGCTAACCACTTTGTCTATAATCTCATGTCGATCCGTGATGTTGCATCAAAAATGGTATCTACAGAAGCTTTCAATACCGAGAATATTTGTAATATCTCAGAACAAAACCGGAGTGCTTTCTCTGATATCATAAAAATATTGGAAGAAGAGAGTTTCAGAAGGTTATTGGTGGCGTTGTCAAAGGCATATAATTACATAGACAGAGGACAAAAAGATTGTCTCAAAATGAAGGATTCAAGTCAGAAGGGTTGTTTGTCAGTAACCTGCTTAAAACCTGACTGTAATGTTGTTGGTGACATTATTTCTTTCATGCGTGAGATTCATGGACCTATGGATTTGGTAACACTAATTGATAGTGCTCTCTCTGATAGATAGTTATAAGCTTACCTGGCACTGTAAACTTATGTTTGCACCGTTGCATAACCTATTTCTTTAGGAACCCTGGATACTTGACCACTGTTAAATGCTCACACCCTCTGCATTCTGGAAGGATAGCTAAGCATGACATTCCCATTACCATCTTGCTATTCTCAAATCTGGTATCGCAACCTTCATCTTTGTAGATCATATTTCACAGTGTGAAGGATGGGTAAAGAGTACTGTACCATCTGACAGTAATTATACTGTGAAAATTTCTCATGAAGAACAAGTTGGAAATTAAGAGTACTGTATCCGGCGGGCTCCACATATTTTTTCACACTTCTGTCCGAGCGTGTCGCCCTCCCATGGGCGGCTCAGGAGGTGACGACCTCGCCACCACCCCTCTCCCCCTCCTTGCTCCGCCGTCGGCAAAGCCGTGCGGTCGCAAGGACCGCGGCGGCGAGGCTTCGCCCACCTCGCACTCGGACGGCTAGGGGAGCTGTTCGGGGCGGTGGCAGTGGTGACCGTCTAGATCCACACTGTTACGGTCAAATCTGGCGGGGCGACAGCTAGCGGTGGGGTTGAGTGGTGGTGGCGGCGACTGAGCTCATGCCATGGCGGACTACCATGGCGCGAGGTTAGGCTAGGCCATGGCACGTGCTGGGGCGCGAAGCCGGCGCATGGGAGGAGGTGTAGATGCGGCGGGCCGGCATGTGTACGATGACGACAATCGAATGTAGAAGTGGGGAAGGAGGAGACCGGCGACTGTGCCTGCAAAGGAGGGAGCGGCAGGCAGTAGGCCTCCCCGCGGTTGTGGATCCGGCGGCAGCGCCACTGGATCTGTTCGAGGATGCGGCAATTTGCAGCCCCCAAGCAAGCGACGAAGACCAACCCTCACCGTGGTCACTGTCATCGTCGTCATCTTCATGAGCTACTGTCCTCATCACGGTCGCCGTCGTCTTCCTGAGCTACCGTCCACGTTGCGGTCGTCGTCGAGCCCTTCACTGGACCGTCCTGCTGTCGCCGTTGACCTCACCGCTGCCGCCATCGTCGCCACCTTCGCCTTCACCTCCGCTGCTAGGGTTAGGTCGAGAGGACAATGGTTTGGCTCGACCTGGTTCAGCTGATTCGATTGGTTTAGTGATTCAACCAGGGGGCAACTAGGTCTATTAAGTCACAAAAGGGCTTGGAGTGTAGAGAGTGGTATGATTCGAAAATTAGCTGATTTATAATCGCATGTTTCTAATTTAATGAATAGTAGTGGTATTTTTCAAAAGCGACGAAGTTATAATGGCATGGATCCAATTAATCCATTCTTTTTTTTTTCACAAAACTATCCTAGCTTTTCTTTAATCTGGTTGTTAGATTCCAACTATTTTCCTCAAACTTTCAAACTTCCAACTTTTTCGTCATATCAAATGTTTGGACATATGTATGGAATATCAAATGTGTACAAAAAGAAAAACTAATTGGACAGTCCGACTGTAAATCGCAAGACTAATATTTTTAGCCTAATTACGTCATGATTAGCCATAAATGCTACAGTAACCTACATGTGCTAATGACGGATTAATTAGGCTCAAAAGATTCGTCTCGCAGTTTACAGACGGAATCTATAATTTATTTTGTTATTTATCTACGTTTAATACTTCAAATGTGTGTCCGTATACTTAAAAAAAATTTAGACGGGGAACTAAACACGGCCTCTGTAGCTGTACCGATCAAAGAACTCAAAAAAGAAAAAAAAAAGTCTGCCTGTTCTCCTTCTCTCTCCCCTTCGCACCTGTTCACCTCTCCGGCGACGAGATGGTCCCAACCTGCAGCCTGTCCTCGATGCCTAGCGAACACCGCCGGCCGCGGAGACCTCGGCTCCGGAGGCGGGGGATCTTCCTGTGTGCCCCTCCAGTTCCAGCGCGGGATCGATCCGGTCGTAGGATCTGGCGGCTCTCGTCCACGCCCTCGTCGCCGCCGGCTGCTAGCTACAACGTCCACGAATCTGGCCGTACGCCCTCAAATCCAAACGTTTGAATCCTTGATTCCATCTTATCTTACGTTAATATATGTTGACCCCGGAAATTATCTCAGTTCTTTTTATGCATTTGTTGCAAATTACACTAACCAACTAATCTGGGCATTCTTATCTAGTACTCCAATAGTGCCGTTCGTCTCCATCTCATACCATCCAAAGTTATGGTATTTTTGAAAGGGTGGAAAAATCTGTGCTATTTTTGGTTCAGGTGAAAAAGGGTCTCCATCTTTTTAACCACCTTAAGCACTTAGCGTTGAAGGTGCCCTAACAACGTGTCGGTGGGATGTTAGTGCGCCAGTGGGATGCTAGTTGGCGACAGACGCTCCGTTAGCTGGCGACCTGCCGTTCTGTTCTGTAGTGCCAACTTGTTCTTTTTTTTTGGTTCAATTTTTAGATATAATAAGACTTCTACATAGAGTAAGTGCACATGCAAAACGAGACAAATTATTAGCATATGATTGAATTTTAATTATTTAAAACTTAAAAATAGATTTATTTGATTTTTTATAACAACTTCTATGAAGAAATTTTTCGTACGAAACACACCGTTTAGCCGTTTTGAAAAACATGCTAACAGAAACCGAGAAACATTTATGCCATTGGAGTTTAGAACGGAGCCTAATACTGATACTAAATTGCCATGCTGTCGGAAAGTAGGTGTAGCTGGTTAGCTTTTTAAATAATGTGCGTCTCCAATCTCAATCTCAATTCCTTCCGCACATGGCCTCCACCAAAACAATCTACAATAAATAAAGAAGGCAAACTCACCTGCAGATATCCACTTCTACTCTGTGGAGATCTGAATCAAGCACACTGCACACTGCACACACACAGAAACCATGGCGGAGGGCGTTGTAGGATCGCTGATCGGCAAGCTTGGTGCGGCCTTGGCGAAAGAGGCAGCAACCTACGGCGCATCGCTGCTCTGCCAGGAAGTCTCTGCTCTCAAGCGTCTCTTTGCCCAGATCCGGGACGTCAAGGACGAGCTGGAGAGCATGGAGGCCTACCTCCATGGAGCTGAGCGGTTCAAGGACATCGACGAGACTACTGGAAACTATGTCAAGAAGATCCGAGGGCTGGCTTTCGAGATCGAGGATGCTGTTGACGAGTTCACCTACAAGCTGGAGGACAAGCATGGGGGATTCACTGCCAAGATGAAGAAAAGGATCAAGCATGTCAAGGCATGGCGTCGTCTCGCACTCAAGCTGCAAGACATCAAGCAAAGGCTTAAAAATGCCGACGAGAGGAAGATCCGTTATGATCTGAGTGGGATTGAAAAGAATGGTCACTCTAAATCCCCTGAACAATCTTTTCAGTTTGCGAGGGAAGAGGATCTTGTGGGGATTGAGATAAATAAGGAGTTGCTGATGCAGTGGCTTGTGGGTGATTCGGAACAAGGGTGTAAAATTGCAACAGTTTGGGGGATGGGAGGTGTGGGAAAGACCACTTTGGTTTCCCAGGTGTACAAGACTGTGAAATTGGATTTTGATGTTTCTGGATTCGTGACTGTCACAAACAGCTACCAGTTTGATGATCTATTGAAGAAGATCTCCACAGAGTTCGAAATTCCAATCGACGCTGATAACATTGCAGTGGGAAGCCTAGTTGAGAGCATTCATCACCATCTGCAAGGTAAAAGGTACATTTTGGTTCTTGACGATGTTTGGCAACCGGATGTTTGGTTTAAGCTAAGGAATGCGTTTCCTACTGAAAGCACTGGTCGGTTTATTTTCACTACTAGAATGCAGGAAGTAGCATTGCTAGCAACTAAAAAATGTACAATTGAGTTAGCACCGTTAGATGCACATTGTTCATGGCAGTTGTTCTGCAAAGAAGCATTTTGGAACGCTGACAACAAAACATGCCCTGAGGAACTACAAGATATAGCTTCGATGTTTGTAGATAAGTGTGCTGGCTTGCCCATTGCCATTGCATGCATAGGCCGCTTATTATCCTGCAAACACCCGATATACTCTGAATGGGAACATGTGTACAAGGACTTAGAGCTTCAGCTCACCAACAATGTGATCCTTGATGTTGATATTGTTCTGAAAGTCAGCTTGGAGGATCTTCAACGTAATTTGAAGAACTGTTTTTTGCACTGCACAATATTTCCAGAAAGTTATGCATTCAACAGAAAAAGATTAATCAGACATTGGATAGCAGCTGGATACATTCAAGAGGTAGGTAGCAAAACAGTAGAGGAAGTGGCAGAGGGCTACTTAAATGAACTTGTAAACAGAAGCCTGTTACAGGTAGTTGAGCGCAATCTATCTGGTCGAGTTCGCAGGTGCCGAATGCATGACATAATCCGTTTACTTGCCCTCAGAAAATCGAAGGAGGAATTTTTTTGTCAAGTTTACAAGGGCTCTGAGGCATGTTCAATCGAGAATACACGTCGTTTATCAATCCAAAATGTAAGTATTCAACACCTTTCTGGATCAAGTGCACCATGTCTCCGATCCCTCCATGTTTTCAGTATTTATCGGAGAATTGATTCGCTGGAGGCTTTCCTCAAATCATTCAAGTTTCTGTCAACGTTGGATCTTCAAGGTATTTCAATCAAGAGGCTACCTAAGATTGTTTTTGACTTGTTTAATCTACGGTTCTTGGGTCTTCGCAAAACATATATCGAGTATCTCCCAAAAGAACTGAGTAGGTTACAGAATTTGGAAGTCCTGGATGCTTATGATTCTAAGCTATTGATTCTTCCAGTGGAAGTGGCCACACTTTGGAAACTGAAATATCTATATGTGGTAAGAGTTCCAGAGGGATCTTATGATAGAGTTCTTGCTTTTGACGGCCTCCAAGTGCCTATGGGTATCTGTAATTTGATTGACTTGCTGGCCCTGCAACTTATCGAAGCTAGCACTGAGGTTCTGCGTCATATTGGATGTTTAACCAAGTTAAGAACCTTTGCAATCGGTAAAGTTAGAAATGAACACTGTGCAGATTTGTGCGACGCAATCATGAGAATGACTTGTCTTGTTCATATTACAATCATTTCAGCTGATGAGAAAGAAGTGCTACAGTTAGAAACACTTTGTTTACCTTCTACTATTGCAAAGATTGATCTAGGGGGCAGGCTAAGCAAGGAATCCATGTCACAGTTGATCTCAACCAGTTCAAACCTCGTTAACCTTACTGAATTAAACTTGTGCTTCTCCAAACTCAATGAAGACTCTTTTGCTTGCATCTTGAATTTACACAACTTAGTTGAGCTTTATCTTTCAAAGGCTTATGACGGAAAGGAACTAATCTTCCATGCAACATCATTTCCGAAACTCAAATTACTAGCAGTATGGGATGCTCCTTATCTCAGAAAAGTTGCAATCCAACAAGGTGCGCTACAAAGTCTTGTTAGGCTATGGCTAGCTGATTGTCCAGAATTAAGGGATGTTCCTGATGGCATCGAGCATCTGAGAACCCTTGAGCATCTGAGAATTAAGGGAAGTTCAGATGAGCTCTGGAGGAAGCTTGAGATAAAAGGAAAATCGAACAAACGCAATGAAGATAGAATGAAGATCAGCCATGTCAAATGGGTCGAAATTGTTTAGGAGAAATGATCAAGAAAAATGTGGTGAACTAGACAAAACAAACAGGTGAGAATGTTAGAGCAGATCATATAATCTTGAGCATCCAGTTATTCTCTTTATTTTTCAGTACACGCATCTAAAACTAGCAGTTTGTTTTGTGCATATAAGGGCTGGCTGGAAACAGTCCGGAGTACCGGAATTCAGTTAGCCCATATAGGCGTTTTTTCAGATACTTGTGACCGAGCTTTGAGCCACGCTTGGGATGGCACGCATGTTGGGTTAACTGGTCAATCTTTTGCATGTAACTGCCCACGTTCTGCGCTGATAAAAGGAAGAGAAAAAAAGGCAGAAAAGCTGCTGAAGTTGGCAGCACAAAATCCTGTTTTGCTCTGTTCTCGTTTCTTCAGTTTTACTGATCACATACGAAAATATTCAGAGTGTGAGCGAGTTCCAGAGGACGATCTCGGTTGATCATTGACAGAGAAAACATTATAGGTACACAGTACATATGTTCTGTATGCACGCATCAGGTACATCTCCTGAAACTAAACCATCATTTTTTTCTTAACGAACACCTAAATATTTTGTACATATATTTCCCTACAAAAAAGAATCATTCAGAACTTGATGTCCATCCTCTGCGCATTGAGAGTATTACATCCTCTGACCAATCGAGTATAGGATGGAAAACCTCTATTTTCTTTTTCTCGAAAACATAGGAGAACTGTGTTTCATTTTTTTTATTAAGAAGAAAGAAATATTTACAAACAAGTGATCTGGTACTCTTTAACTTCCATGGAATCTGGTACTCTGCCATTAGTCATCCGCACCTGAGGTGGCTTCACCGTCGCTGCTGTGGAGGTAGATCGCAGACGCACGATGGGAAGCAGCGGTGAGGCGGAGGAAAGGGGCTGACGCAGAAGAGGGATGCGGATATGGGTGCTGACTGCTGAGAATATGGGACTCAACTCAACTTCCTCAGAGGACGAAACTGCCCCTCCATAACGACGTTTACTCTATTAAGTTACTATCTATAAACCGGATGAGACTCCCTAACTTTGTGCAGTTTGCAGTTGTGGCACTGACATATGGGCCAGACACATTTGGCCCACATGTTAGTGCCACAACTGCAAACTACATAAAGTCAGGGGATCTGTTTCCCTATAAACCATCCATGAGCTTTAATACTCATGCAGTTTATTTTTTGAGGAGCATAGAAGCACTTCTCTTTAATTTGTTCAATGATTAGTACTAATGAACCCTGACTTTTCATCAATCTTTTCCTACCTTTCCTACAGTGTACTAAATTTATTTATCTCCAAACTTAGCTTGGCAAACCATTTTTTTTGTTATTAATTAATAACTAATATCCTTTTTATTCCTAGCGTGATTGTTAAAAAAACATATCGATGATGACTTAGTTATTCCAGTAGTAAAGCGTGGGGAATCACCTAGTTGGTTTGATGGCTACAACCTTCATTGGGTGGTGAGCACGTAGTTGTACAAACTTAATTTCAGCAGCTATATATAGCATATGTTTTTTCTAACATTGTACACACTATAGTGAAACTTGCTTCTTGAAGACTACAAGGTTGCAAAAGATTATATTGAAGACATTCAGGATATATGTGATGATTTTGAGGATGTTAACTCAACTTAGCAGCAAATAAAGGTAATGCTCTAATCATATGAAGAAACAAAACAAATGGCATGGTTTCTGATAACATCATGTTGGGTTCTTATTTCAGGCATGAACTTTTATGACTTCTTCGTCTTCACAACACGTTTTGCTTTAGCCAATATAGTTGAGCTTTACCATATTCAAAATCCAAAAGGCCCTCGGTTCAACAGAAACCACAAACCACTTTGTGTATAACCTCATGTCAATCCGTAATGTTCCATGAAGAGTGATATCTACAGAAGCTTTCACTGCCGAGAATATTTGTAACATCTGAGAACAAAACCAGAGTGCTTTCTCCGATATCATAAAAATATTGGAAGAAGAGAGTTTCAGAAGGTTATTGGTGGCGATGTCAAAGGCACATAGACACAGGACAAAGTGATTGACTCAAAATGAAGGATTCAAGTCAGAAGGGTTGTTTGTCAGTGACCTGCTTGAAATCTGACTGTAATGTTGTTGGTGACATTACTTCTTTCAAGCGTGAGATTCATGGACCTGTGGATTTGGTAATACTAATTGATAGTGCTCTCTCTGATGGATAGTTATAAGCTTACCTGGCACTGTAAACTTGTGCTTGCACCATTGCATAACCTATTTCTTTAGGAATCCTGGATACTTGACCAGTTGACCACTGTTGAATGCTCCCATCCTCTGCATTCTGGAAGGATAGCTAAGCATGACATTCCCATTACCATCTTGTGATTCTCAAATCTGGTATTGCAACCTTTATCTTTTAAAATCATTTCACAGTGTGAAGGATGGGCAAGAGTACTGTACCATCTGACAGTAATTATGTTGTGAAAATTTCTCATGAAGAACTAGTTGGAAAGTAAGGAGCTAATTGTTGGTCAGTGACTTGCTGTCTTGGATATGTATTTCAAGGTGAATCCACTGAAGGTGACACATTGACATACTGCTAATACTTTCAGAAAATGACCTCAAATGTTTCACCATAGAAGATAGAAAATACTATGTTCCTTCTTTATGTTGTTTTAGATGCGTACAGTAAAACATCAAAGTCTCACTAACATTTTTGTATTGGAGACCGTGTCAACGTCCTAAGCGACATATAAGAAAAAATGATGTTGTTTTTCTTTTTCTTCCATGGATTATACTGATTTTGTTTTAGTTTGCTCTTTTCTTTACCTTTTGTTGTGCTCCCAGCAACCAAATGGAAGTTCTTGATGATGCAGCATGAAGAGTGTCTGCATACCAATAAATGCTCTCAGCTGCTGTTGTTATGTTAGGCTGCTAGCAAAAATGTATTGGGTAAAACATCGATAACTTCTTTGCTATTCAATAAACATGCAGCTTATAGCCAACAGTGCAATGATTTTTCTCTTGATAATCTCTGTTGTATAATGATGTATTTATGTGAAATTTATACATCTTAAACTCCTAAGAGAATTCCAATATGAACAGCAAATCTTATAAATGCAATCTGCTAAAAAGATCGTTTTTCCTATTCTTTTTTTTTAAAAAAAAAAATTGTGGCTTGTTTTGCTGTGTTTTTGTTCTAAAATTCTTTACTACAAAAAAATGCTAACAATCCATCATAATGTCTAACTGATAACTAGTTGTTACTCCTTTTTTCTTATGGGAAAACGGATCATTTCCCATTGCTTAGACAAACACTATGATGATGATTTGCATCTTATCCTGTGACAACTGATGATGTAGCCGCAGAGGCTGAAAACAACACATAGGAAAACTGTAGAAAGAAAAAGAAGAACTGATTGTTTTGTTCTTTAATTTATATAAATTCACTGTGCAGTTGCACAGTCCTTAAGGATATCTGTGGATATGAATGCCAGAAAACAACAGGTTTCTGTCATTAGTAAAATTATCTTCAAAACCGGGCCCGTTCTTTCTGATACACACACATGCATGACCAGTAAGTATACGTCCTGTAAATCAAAACCGTTTCGTATTGGATTGGATTGTTGCTGTTGGAATGGCATGGCCTGTAACCTGGAAGAAGATTGTCCGGTGTGGTATGGTAGCACTGGACCGCTGATTGCATTGGTGCATGTCAAATTATTGTCTGTCAGATCCATCTGGGGACTAAGTAGCAGCAACAGCAGCAGCAGCAGGTATGCTTGTCTTTGTATGCACTGCACATCTGTTGGCTGTGTCTCCTGTTTGTGCTGTCATCTTTGTTCAGCTTTCCAGTGCCACATTATGCCTTTGTCTACCAGATTGTTAACCATGCCAGGAGGCTATCATGCATACTGTCTTCTTTTTTTTTTTATACCACTAACATGGTGAAAGAAGGCAGAAGAACAAGAATCACTGGGAGAAGTGGAGGATACTTCTCAAGTGTTCTCTTCATGCCGGCAGCCTTGAACACTACAGAGGAAGGCCGCCTCGGTTTTCGCTGTTACAGGTTAGTCATTTTACTGATACTGTATTTTTATAGCTGTGACTTTTGTTGCACGAGACCTAAATAGTTTACTTTGGGCAACTGTGCATGTAATTTACTAGTTACGTTGTCTTCTCTACATTCACCAGTTTGAAAGTTTCCTCACTCTACTAATAATATTGTTACCCTAATGGTGCAACCTCCAAGACTCCCAACACAAACTGTGTTGTACATCTCTTTCAGACTTCACACCTTTTGTCTGTATATCAGCAAAACCCAACAGAAAATGTGTTCTAACATCACTGTTAGTTTGCATGTATAATTCAAAGGGGTGGGCTTTATTTTATTACAAATATAATCAAATAGTTTGTCACTTTCTCTTCACTTAACTAGCTAATTAAGCTTCAACATTTCTCCTTTGGCAGTTACTTTGCTGAACTGAACTGTTACGATCACCTGCTAACAATTGCAGCCGTTTCTCACTGCCGAGTGTGGCTTGTCGATCGTTCTCACACCACATGCTCCCATCAGCAAGGGACAAACGGTGTCCTGCTGCAATCCTGCTGAAATGAACTCCAGAAGCTTAGCACTGAAACACAGATTTTTCAGTGGCTCGCTCACTTCCCGGTGTCTGGCTTCTTCAACAGCGTACGTGCAGGCTCCAGCCTGCAGCAGCTGCATGTACTCTCCCTCCTCTTCTCTTTTTTACCCTTTACTGCTTTCGGTGATGGCCATGTTCTCCTACAGAGTCATCTGTTAGCTAGGGATGATAAATGTGGCGGTAATTTGGTCAGTTATCGGACTTATCGAGCCGGTATGCGAATCGAGAAACGGTTCGGTAAACTAGCCGAGTTCTAAATGGAACCAGTTTGGAATTCAAATCCCTAGCAAAATGTATTCGGAGTTCTTCGGTTCCAGTTGATAACAGAGAGGTAATTAGGGTGAAAACGGTATGGAAATCCCTAACCATACTGAGACTGTTTCAGTAGAAATAAGATTAAAAACAGTATTATTTTCGACCATTTCCGTTTCTACCTATATGTAAAATTTAATTTTTCTGATTTTTGACAACGCGGAATTCATGTTGTCACTAAATAATTAAATTCATAAATAATAAAAATCCTCGAATTTACCAAGACCGTTTCTGTAAAATTGATATCGCTTCGGACCGTTTTCATCACTAGCATGGTTTTGGGAGCGGTATTCGCTGACTGGATGAATGGTTTTGTATACCATGCTGGTACATAGTAGCTGCATACTTGGAGTAGACGGGTGAGTGGTCCAGGCAAAACGGATTGGATGGACGGATGGGGTTTGGGATTAGATGCTTCTGCTTTACTGCAAATGCATCATGGATGAAAACGTGGACGTGAAGGAAGGGACAAAATGCTTTGGGGGAGAAAAAAGAAAGAGGGGAAAAAAATTATAGACCTACAGTCTCTAGGGACAGCATAGTATTCATGCTAGTTCCATCGTTTGATAGAACTGTATATATTCCCTTCTCTTCCCTATATTTCTCACTTTCATGGGGACGAATGCAATTGATTAATTACACCTAATAGTAATAATAGTGTTGAGAGCCCAGATCGAGGTGGTTAGTATGCTTGATTGCTTCTTGTGCTTCTAATGGTAGTGATGTGTGCTGATTGCTCGAGGTGATATTGCTTAGCGTTTAAGCTCGGTACATGCATTTTTGTACTACCTTTGGTTTTTTGCACTGTTTCCTACAATGATGTTTCCTCTTATGTTTCTCTGAACATTTGAGTCGGATCCAAGGAAGGAAGAAGGTGAATGATGTGTGTTCTTCTTTTGTTTCTCTAAACATTTGAGTCGGATTCATGGAATGAAGAGAAGGGGAATCGTCTTTGTTGCGGTGGTGGTAGTGTTGTAGTTGCATAACTTATATAAATTGCATCGTCCATATTTATGCACTTACAGGACCTCTCCAGATTGAGGGATTTTTATAGGATTTTCAAAGGAATATTGTAGATAGGAAATATTTCCTTTCAGTGAAACAAAGGAAAATTTCCATCCACTCCTATCTTATTTTTTTTCCATTTTCTATGTTTTTCCTCTATCTATCCGTACTGTGTTTTTCAATAATCTATTTTATTAGACATGCATTCCCCCGTATTTCTATGATTTTTCCTATTTCTACATTTTTACAGTATTGTGATGGGAATAAGCCCATACATGTGTGTTTGTGCTTTTGGTAGGAAATTTAATGAGCAGTTCTTTTATATTTAACTGAAAAAAAAGAGACTTAACTCAAAGGAGGGAAAGAGCCGCTTATAAAATTGACAATGCTTGTATATACTACCAATTTGACTACATTGTTGAGGACTACAACACTTGTACAACCCACAAACTAGCTGATCAACCTTTGCTAGCCTTACATCCTTTGGCCTCAATCGGCACCTCATCACCTCAACATTTCAGATCATCATCAAAAATCAAAAAAGAAACCACCATTCTCCCTTTTGAGAAACCAACCTTTGGTAAAAACTAAAAAAAAAAAAAGACCACCAGATCCATATTTTTTTTAAAAAAAAGAAGAAGAATTGAAGAAGAAGAAGAAATCTATCAGCATGGCTAGGTGCACTTGACGTTCTTGCCGGGGCCGCCGTAGTAGAAGTAGTTGCCCCAGACGGCGTTGACGCCGCCCTGGATGTCGTAGCAGTCGGGGTGGTCGGCGGTGACGTGGAAGCCGGCGGCGAGGGGGACAAGGCTGTTGTCCCAGTCCACCACCTCCAGGTTGCGGAAGTAGGAGGCGCCGCCGAACCCCTCGCCGGCGAAGTGCCCGCTCCCCATCTGCGTCGCCGTGTGCGCGCCGCCGTCGGCCCTCGTGTTCACCACCTCGCCGCCGAACTGCACCATGCTCGCGTGCGACGCCAGGTGGCTGAACAGGAACGACGGCCAGTACCCCACCAGCTCCCCATTCCCGAACTCCAGCCACCAGTTCCCGTGGTTCGGATCCTGCGAAATACATTTTTTCGCCATCGTTTTTAATTAAGTTGTATGCACCGGCTAGTTCGTCGTCTATCATTTCACGAGAAATCGGTCATCTGTATTTGTTGTTAAAAACTAAGTTGTATACACTGACCAGTTCGTTTAGTGTCAAATGGTATAATATTCGTTAACAGTTCACGGAAAATCCGTTATTTCTCTTTGTTTATTAAAAATTAAGTTGTATGTACCGATCAATTCAATAAAGTTGACGAACCGGTTATACCATTCTACTACAGTTTCTACTCATTCACATTTGGCACTAGTGAAATGAGGGAATTGGGACGGTGAGGGTTAAAAGGACGATGGTTTGCTGATGTCCCCTGCAGCTGGTCCTGGTACATGCTAACATGCATATCATGTTTTCAGGCCCAATCGACAGTACTACTCTATCTATGACCGTGACTATCCAAGAGTGTACATATATGTCCACATAGGATGCCCAACTATTTTGTTACTCTTAATAAATGCTACTCCTAGTAGCATCTGCTTCGTTCCAAAAGCTGTGAAGTAACTCCTCTAGCTACTCCTACACCTTCTTCTAAGGTTCAATACAAAGATGCCACTGTTAAACTACAACTGAAGCGAGAGGAAAAGGCGATGCATACTATGCTGCTTTAAAGTGTCAGACTGACAGTGCAATGATGAGCAATGCGTGCTGCTGTCCTGGATGGAGCAGCAGATGCAGATGCCGGTCAAGAGCCAAGAGCGCTATAGCGTCAGTTATTTCAGGTTGGTGGATGAACACCAAGCACGGCTCAGAGACTTCAATAAGGCATACGATGGAAAACGCAGAGGAAGTTAATTGCTAACTAGTAGTAGTAGAGGATTAAATTTGGATATGCGGTTAGATTTTGACTAGTTTACCTTCCAGACGAGCAAGCTGATGTCGAACTGGCCGCCCTTGTAGCCGGACGTCGGCGAGATGGCCGCCCCCATTGCGATCCTGCTGTTCGTCTGGACGAACCCCGAGCAGAGCAGGTTGTAGCACCCCGTCGTCTGGTACGCGTCCGTCTGCTCATAATTTAATATGGTATCAGAGCCTATTTAAATAAGAAGATTCGAATGCGACGAAAAAAGAAAATGCCTGTTTTACCGTCCAGTAGGTGAAGAACCTGGGAGAGTTGTCCCCGTACAGCTGGGGGCTCACCTGTCAGAGACACAAGCGAATGTCAGCTAGTACGTACTAGTGAGCTCCTTGGTTCTGTCATGAAAATGGAAGGAAGTACTCCCTCCATATTATAACAAACAAATCAAAGATGAATTTTGACACATCTTAATAATACAAATCGGAACAATTCTTTATCCAGATTTATAGTAATAAGATGTGCCGTATCCTGGTTTATGTTTCGAACAGAGAATGTAACAGTGGGGAATTGGAGATGGGAGAGATGTGGACCTGCCAGCCGGCCTCGATGGTGTTGAGGTCGTTGCCGAAAGAGCCGGCGATGACCCAGATCTGCGAGAGGCTGAACTCCTCCGGCGTGCTCACCTTGGGCGCCCACACGTTGATGCTCGCCTTCGCCCCGTAGTACTCCTCCCCGGCCACATACCCCACCGCGTGCTGCCACACCCCCAACTTAAATTTCAGTTAATCAATGCACTTAATAACCCATCTAAAATTAATCTGCAGTTAATTGCAGTCAAGCAGGCAGCTGGGATGGATAGAGAAATGAGATAGAAGTAGTATACTCCTATTTGGGATCAATGCTGATGCAGCAATGGCGACAAAAGCAGTCAACCGAATGGGGTCAAAATCGGTGAGGTTAAAAACTGGTCACTGCCTGACTCTGAAATCTGAATGTCCTTGCGGCGGTTATCGTCATCGGTGTAGATTGTACGTTTTTTTTTTATATATTCTCAGCCATATGACGTGACACTTTCAGCTAGTCTATTTGTCGTCAGCTGCTCAGATATACAGAAAGAGAGAAAAAAAAGGGGACAAAAACAAACTCTGGTACCAATCGGAGATATGCAGTGCATATGTATTTCGAGCGCTATTTGAAAGGAGGAAAAATTCGAATTGAAAATAAATGAAACTGGTTTTGGAATTTTGAACAACTTTATTTTCATATCAAAATTGAAATGATTCAAGAACAGAGAGCTATTAAGTACTAGGAAATGATGCAATGCCATGTAGATAATGGCTGAACGAGAGGAAAGAGGAAGAATGGATTCTTTTTCTCCCTCTTTTCAAAATCGAAATGGTTCAAGAACAGAGAGAAAGAGTAGTAGAAGTATGAATTAACTATGAAATAATGCAATGCCGCCATGGAGTGAAATAAATCGAAGAAATGGATTTTTCTTTTTTTTGTTGTTGTTGTCGAAGAAATGCTGACCTCGTGGCCGCCGGAGACGGAGTCGCGGCGAACCCTCGCCGTGGGCGCGCGGCCGAACCTCCTGACGGAGCTGGCGCGGAGGACGTCGGCCTCCGTGGTGCGCCTGATGGGCACCGACCCCTCCGGGCACGACGCGCCGCCGGCGGACGACGCCCACAGCTGGACGCCGGCGTCGCCCGCCGCCGTGTCGTTCGGCCCCGGCCGCGGCCGCCACCCCCTCGGCCTCTCCGGCGGGCCCCGCAGCGGCCTCTGCCCGCGCAGCCTCGGGTGGTCGAACGCCGGCTGCAGGTGCGCCGCCACGCAGTCGATGAGGTCGCCGTCGGGGCTCTCGATCGTCCGCACCGCCGGCTTGTTCACCCGCCGCAGCAGCGCCTGCACCCTCCTGTACCTCCGCAGCTCCCGCCCCGCCCGCAGCGCCGCCGTCGCCGACGACGACGTCTCGTTCGCCGCCGCCGCCTCCGCAGCAGCAACAAGAACCAGCACCACCACCGCCACAAGCAGCGACGAGGCAGCTGATGACGCCATCAGCAGCAGTGGAGCTTCTTCTTCCTCCTCCTCTCGCTGACGATGCCGCTCCCGCGCCAAGATGAATACATCGATCGGCAGGCTCCCTCCCTCGAGCTCGGAGTACACACTCACTGACACTCTGAGTGCTTCTTCTTGTAGCAATCTCTGCTTCGCCCAATGAAGAAGAAGACGCAGACGACGACGCAGAAAGCAAGCAAGCAACCAATCTGGAGTGAGGTAGCTGGGAAAACCGCCGTCTAAGCAAAGGTCTCGGCGACCAAGGCGAAGCTAAGACTCACAACGGCAGCAGCTATATACCACCACTGGACACTGGCACTAGCACTAGCTAGCACCAGCTGGTGATCATCATCTTGCTCATGGCTAATCAGGAGAGAGAGATCGAAATCAAGATGATGAGAGAGTTAACTAGCAAGCTAAGCTAAGCTTAAGCTAGGGGGGCCGGGCCGACAAAGCATGAGGCTTTGCAGCATGAGGCAATTGAGTGAGTGAGTGAGTGAGATACAAGAACAATTATTATAATTTACTACTACTTGAGAATTGAGAGGAGTGGCTTTTGGGAAAGGGGCACCCTGCCCAACCCCAAGTGGCCGGCCATGGCAATGGATTGCTACTGCTACTGCCTTGCTTGGGCTCAATTGCTCACTGCAATTGAGTACTCCTCCTTGTACAAGAATTTTTTTTTTTTTTGCAAAGGAAAAAAGACATGTAGTACAATGGCTTTACTGTAAAGCAGTTTACATGTATACTTGTACAACATCATACAGGTTTGGTAGAGCGTGTATGGCAAAGGCCCATACCCCCCCCCCCCCCCCCCTCTCGAGTATTTTCTGCATCTGTGTATGTGCTACTGCTTGTACTGATGTGGTGTTCTTCTTTGACTGATGAGATATGCTAAGATTGTTCTCAATAAAGAAAAAAAAAGATATGCTGAGATTGACATGAATGGAGTCGGGCCATGATGAACAGGTTGGTAGTAGACTTTTTTTCTTTTGCAAGCAAATGCAAAGCATGTCTACCTACGTGCATTTCTCTTCAAATCTGAGCGCCCTGTAATGTGTGAACTAGGAGATGCACTAAATTGGAATGCTCAGACTACACTCAAAAGGCTTCTAGTAGAAATTTTCACATTCCTGACAAGAGGGAGAATTTCATTAACACAACTACTAACCAAGTTCCATGCTTTGATGCATTAGGGCAGTACTGCTTAAGGTAATCTTTTGTTAAGCAAATACTCCCAAAGTCCTAAAATATAGTAACCTAACACTGGATCCAATACATCATAATACGATTAATAGTAATACAATGTGTCTAATCTGATTCTAGGTTACTATATTTTATAACGGAGAGAGTATTACTTAACCTAAACAACCAGCACGACCAAAAAAATCTCCTCTGCCTGACAATTTTAAATCTGGCAATCTTTTTTCAATGCATTAAGCAATACTAGTACTTAATCTAAACAACTAGCCCAACTCAGTTAATCTTCTATTCCTGACAATTTTAAATCTGGTCAATCTTCAGACTGTGGGTGTTCTCATTGGAGGAGTGGTGGTGGTGGTGCAAAAGCAAACAATGCTCTCAAGTTCAAGTCTCAACAAGGGGGCCAGCAGGTTGCTTTGGGTTGGGTTTGGGCCTCCCTTTTTGATTTTTTTTCCTCTCATCCTTCTCTTCTTTTCATCTCCCCCCATCTCCTTTTACCTCTTTCCTTCAGTACATTGGGTTTTGCAGGAGCATGCCTGCTTGTTCCTCCTAAATAGCTACTCAACCACACTGTTCTTGCTTCTTCTTCTTCTGCTGCTGCTGCTGCTGCTTGGTCCTTGCTATTAGGTCAGTAGACTTGTGGTCTCTGTACTGTATGTATGGTGGTCCTCCATGTCCTTGCTTTCACTGCTTCCTAGGACCTTAGCAATGCTACTCCTAAGCTTGTTTTTACATGCCAAAAAGGTTTCTATGGGATTTGTTTGCAGGCAAGAATTTTTGTTTCTCACCATCTCCTTCCTTGCCAACATGCCACTTTTCTAGCAACAAATGCTCTCTTTTCTTTAAAGAAAAAAATTCTGAAATGAATAGCAGCCAACTTTAGCGCGACCCCGGGAACTTGCACTAAATTTTAAAGTGCAGGTGAGATTTGAAAAATGTGTTTTGGACCATCATATGATATGTCCGGAGTACAAGTTTGGAACAAGAACACCACCTTTGCTGGCTCTGAAACTGTTGCCAACACAACCACAGGGCTCAAGCAGTTTTTGAGACATTTTTGTGAGTGGTGCTGCTTTAATTTTGAACAAGTTTTGGCAGCGCTTCTGCATGTGCTGCCTTGCCTGTTCATCAGAAGAAGAAGAGTTGCAGAGAAATCTGTGCCTGAGCTCGTGATCATAGCTCTGGATCCTGGAATAATCCAACAGTCTTCTTTTCTAACGAAGATATAGATTTTATCTCGATTTTCATTAGCACATTTTTTAAACTGCTAAATGATATAACTTGTATGAAAACTTCCTCTATAGAAGTTGCTTTAAAATATTAGATATATTTATTTTGCAAATTTATAATAATTAGAGCTTAATTAATTATATGTTAATGATTTGTTTGTTTTTCGTGCCGAACTTTATTTTCTTCTTGAATAGAGAGGAACACCATCTCTGAACTGAACCTCGGTACAGAGCCAAGAACAGCAGCTGCTGACTTGCTGTATACAGTTACAATACACGCATGCCTCTCTCAGATTTCATTCCCATTTTCAGACTGTCAGAGATCTCTGCATGCTTTGCTGCAGTGTGTAGTATCAAAGCTTATTTAGTTACTGCCCTCAGCTTTTTACCACTTAGTTAGGATCTCAGGAGCGCCCTTTTCTTCTAACCAAAAACAAAAGATAATCTCTTTTAATTGGCTTGCTTAGCTACTGGTAATCATGCTCTGTGTTACTGTTGCTGTTCTACAAGAGGCCGGCCTTTTTTTTTTTTCTGAAGCTCTTCGATCGAGGAGCGGCTGGTGTGGGCCCGGGTGTATCTCAGGCTGTCCAGAATGTTGTGAGCACTGCTTCTTTCTTTAATTCTCCTTTCTCTTTTTTTTTCTCCTTTTTTTTTTGAGCTGATGCTGCTCCCGTCCTGTGTCAGTGAAAGCTTTGTGTGGATTCAGAGCAAAGGAATAAGCGGTGGGGAATTATCAAGATTTTGGATTAAATTATGTGCATGGATGGATGCTGTTTTCAACGGCGTAATCTGCATATGCAGATGCAGCGATCGATCTCGCGTTAATTTAAGTAGAATAGAACACGGGAGCGTACGTTTTCATGTGGCGGTAATGATGCAGTCACGCCCTGCAAATCCCATTCATATGCTCTCGTAGTAAGCTAGTGCAGGAGTAAATAAATTCTGCTTTTTCTTCTCTCCAAAAGGTTAAGCCGATAGAGTAATCCTCAGGTCATAATAAAAAACTTCGACTTCCCTCCAAAAGGTTAAGCCGAGAGAGTAATCCTAAGGTCATAATAAAAAACTTCGATTATCAATTTATATAAGAATGAATTTATAAAATCTGATAAGTTTATGATAGTATGATACATACTCCGTTTAATCATCACATAAGGTTTTTAAGATCCTCCCAAAATGATCAATCTTTAACAAGTGCATCTTTATTTATTTGTGCCAAAAGTAAATGAGTATCGTTGGATGCCCTGCATGCAACCAACCAAGATTAATTTATATTGGTCCAACTACATGTAATATTTAAAACTTGATGCAATCCACGGAACATGAAGCGACGTAGCACCTTAACTGATGGTAATATAGAATGATGAATGCTTTATTATCTTTGGTCTCAGTATTTTCAAGGCAAATCTACACACACCATTCTTTCCTTTTAAATTAAACATCTTAAGCAATTATTGATGTCAAAGTTCACTAATCCTGTTCTAAGTATCAAATATTTATGATCCGAAAGAATAGTATTTATTCTTTGCAGGCTTAAACAAAAGAGCCAAGTCCATCTAATTAACACTGGATTTCACGATGAGACAGAGGGTTGCATTGCTTTCATGGGCTTTTGTGTAACTCAATTTGGCGTTTAAGTCCCAATTAGCCTTGCCAAATTTTGATAATTCTATGCTCAATACCACTTGGGTTGACGACAAAGTTTGATAGTGACAATTGTTTTTTGACAATTTTTACTTGGTCTCTACTGGTTAGAATCAATGTAGGTCTTTCATGATTTCATCTATTTTTGCGTTGATTGTTCAACTTCTCTCATTCTTGATGCCCCCCTCCCCTCCCCCCTTGTACAATTCAGCTAACCCAATGCTTTTACTTCCATATCTATTAGTTGTGGTGATCTCTCACCATCTTTGGTGATGTTCTTCCCTTAATAAAGATACCACACTGCCCTGATCGTATTTGGTAGTTCATAGCCTGTTTTCAATAAAAAAACACACTCTCTTTTATACATCAAGCTTCTTTCATTACCAAGCATCTTATATGATGTTCTCAACATTGCAAAGAGTCACACTCATTATCATTATCATTAACTCTAATGGATGGCACAATATTATCATCCTTTCAATAGCAATGCATTTTTCCCTCTCAAATATATTAACTTTTAAATTTAGATTTCAACCAAAATAAAATATTGTTCTTTTTTTTATTCCAAATTCTAAATGTTCATGCTTGACATTGACTTTTTTCTTTAATATTTTTCTATTTATATTCCAAATCGTAATATGTGTATATTTTACTTTGAAACTTGCAATCCAATTGCTAGTTTTATTAAACTTTTAGTTTCTCTCTTGGGTAGTATCCATGTTTGGAATAGATTCTTCTCATAATATTTTTACTAGTTATTTCCAATATGTTATTTCGAATTGTGGACTTTACTATGAAATGTGCATCGGAATAAGATATATCTGAATTTAATTGTGTTCAGTTTCCAAATCAAACCTATTCTTGGATGTCATTCTGTCTGGATTCTTATCTTATGTTAACATTTCTAATCCTAATTTTGGATATTTATAGACTATATTTTTTGTAAGGAATCTTGATGTACATATTTGGCATTGTCACATCTTTACATTTTACTATAATTTTATTTTAGAATAATAGTGAATTAGGGATTCTATTTTGGAATATAAATTAAAACCAAACTTCTTCTATTTACTTGAGAGTGCTTACCGTGTGCAATTTCTGGGATCAGCAACAAACTTCTCCTTCAAAATCATATGGTCCTCAGATGCACAACCCAAGCAACATTTTCACGGTTGGTTGATTCTTCGCCAGAAAGCACTCACAGCAGAAAACCTCCTAATCAGGCATTGGCCATGCTATTGGATTTGCTCCTTATGCGAAAGCGCTTTTAAAGACACTGATAACCTGTTTTGGGATTGCCCCTTCACAAGGCAAGTTTGGAATTCCGCATCAGCATACTTGGGTTTTTCAAACGCTTCCACTAAACAATTGATACCAGAATGGCTCACTTACCTTTACTCGTCGATAACTGCAAGGCAACAACACTCTAAGATCGCCTAATCACTTCCTGGTGGCACATTTGGAATGAAAGAAACACGAGAATTTTCCAACAATCATCAAGAGAAGCTAATGAAGTATCTGGCCAAATTCAAGAAGACATAGATCTACGAAATTTTGCCTTCAAACCTCCCTAATGTTATATGTCACCTCTTCTATCCTAGTCGCTCCTTTTCATTTCTTCGTTTTTTTTTCTAGTGTAGTGTAAAGAACTCTTCTTTGTTTTTATTCCTTCTAATATAACCGGCAGTCCTCCTACCGTATATCGTTTTTTTTTTTAAAAGAGTTGAGACAAGCCCCAGCAATTTGCTCATATTCTTAATTGGAAGCTAACAAAATCAGTTTGATTGGTGTATATCATCTTGTTCACTTGGTTAATGGTAGGGCTGTCAAAAAATGATTGAGGCTAGAGAGCAGTTCGAGCTTGGCTCGTCCTCGTCTTGATTTTAAGCTAGGCTCAAACTCCAAATGAGTCAAGCCCAAGACAAAGCTCGAGCCTTGCCAAGCCGACCTTAAGCTTCTAATAAGTTTGACTTTGTATAGCTTTTATTTTTTCTTCACCTTGTTGATTTTATAAACTAATAGATAAATATACATTAGTATCTACCTACCCAATAAATTAGCATGTGTTAGTATCATATATCTATCTTAGTTATTTTTCTACTCTTTTATGAGTGTGACGAAGTAGATAGCTGTATTTTAGAACAAAAGAAATATGCTATATATACTATTTATGGCTGAGGTTGGTAGCTGAGCTCGAGTTTGATCGGGCTTGATTAAAAGCTCGAAGGTGGAATAGACTCGGCTCGAGCCTGGGTAGAACTTCACTTGAGCTTGGCTCGTCGACAGCTCTGGTGGTTACTCTACAAGTTGGTTGGTAGAGTGACCCTCAAAGAGCTTCTGGTGACTACCTTTACCTCACATATATTTATTTTATCAGGAAGTTTTTTTTAAGATAATGGGAATATCAGGAAGTACTTGGCTGTTATTTTCATTATGGAAAGTGCCTAAGATTCCCTGCAACTCTGCTTCAAATTTGACCTTCTTTTGTCCTCCCTTTCTTCCTCACAAGAACAGAACATACTCCTTTATGTGATACACGATCGATTGCATTTGTATCATATCATCTATGCGTTAGCTAACCAACCATGCATATGCCTGAACCTCTGATCCTGAAGAAAGAGAGACCGAATGATGGACGCACTGCCAACCCTGTTCTTTGGATTATACAGTGCAAGTTCAGAGTAAAAACCACTAGTAAAAAAAAAAACAAGCGTTGTTGCAGGTGAAATGAAACGTCTTGTCGATCGGCAAAGGAATTTGTTCTTTTTTTGCGTCTGTCTTTTACTCGAGAGATCGGCCTCGATCGCCGGTCAGGAACTGGAAAAGGGTTTCGAAGAGGATTTGCTTTGCAGTCGCGTGACACATGCATGCATTGAGTACAGTGAAATGCAGTGAGATCTGATCGAATGCTTTGCTTTAGCTTCTTCAGTTCAGTTCAGTTCAGGCCCAGCTAGTAGCCTCCTCCTCGCTCTCTTTCTCGTCGATTATCTCTCTTTCTCACAAGTTTCAAAGAGTCTTTGCTGCATCTTCTCGCTACTGTTTGAGTCGCCGGTCGATCGATTCAGAGTTCAGAGTTCAGAAGGCTCCAGTGGTCGAATGATATCAAGGGTTGGATGACTGACAGTGTCTGAACCTGCCAATTTCTTCAGGAAAATTTCTACCTAGAGAGACTGGATGTTTCAGACAGTGTATAAGATCAGTGCACGGCAATTGCGTGTGACAGAAATTCTGTTGTTCACAAGAGGACGGTGAAATGTGAGTAGTTTTCTCAGTTCTTCATTACTTTAACAATTTGATGAACTGACTGTTGTTTAAAACTCTATACAAACAAGAAGCTTAAATTAAGTTATGGTGTTTTTTTTTCTCAGAATTTTTCCATAGAATGTGCACATTTGGTCAAGAAAGATCCAGACATGAAAACCCACTTGTCATGATTGAGTACAGCACATCCATCAAAACCTCTTACACAGATAAATGATCCAACATGCAACAAGAAGACACAATCATCACTCCCCATTGAACAACGCCGCCTCACACACACACACATGAAGGAATTAATGCAACCCCCCCTTAATGATCATCATCCACACTCCATAATCCTCCTGTAAAGCCACTAATAGCTGGCTTAAATTGAGATCATGGCATGCATGCAGATGCAGAATTAGTAGTAGTACTACCTGGTTAAGTGGGTAGGCAGGCAGCAATTAGAATGTCTTTGTGGGGGCTAAGCAAGGGGAAAAAAAGGCTAGCTAGCTGGTCCCTTTGGTGGCAAACATATGCATGGCATCTTCAATTCTAGGCTTGCATTGATAGGGTAGGCATATGTCTATATTCATGCTGATGCAATTCTTGATTAGGTGAAAAGTGTAGTGAAGGTAGCATGAAAGGAGAGGATGAGGAAAGAGGAGCATCTACCGGACAAACTTCCCCTTTTTCCACCAAAAAAAAAAATGCTCTCCACATCCTTTAATTAGTTTGCAACTATGCTCTGGTCCTCAAAATTGGGTTGGGCATATGTGGAATTAGTGTGCAAGCATGGTAGTTCATATAAGATGTTTTTGCAATGTTTTCTACTGGTAGCAGAATCAATCTAGACCATTTATCTTTTCTTAGGCAATAGATCATATCTATTTGCACTAATTTTTTCTACTATGATTTTTTTTCCACTGTAAAGGTACTCGTTCATATTTTGTCATGTAATGACTCATGAGATATGGCACGGGCTTCAGAGACTACATCAACTAAAATTTTTGAATTTAAGATCCCCTGAGTCTTGGAAGAAAAAAAATGTTCGTTTCGTTTTTTAACAGAGAAAGATCTCACCACAACTCATTGTTGTTTACTTTATCTCCATAAAGGTAAGTGACCAAGTCATGGGTTCGAGGTGATCGAGATAGCTTCTCCATCTCTATAGTCTTTTCCGATAAATAAATTCTATTATTTGCTATAATGAGGTTTCCACCAAATGGACTTGTGGTGTTCAATCTCTTTATGCATGTTATGTGATCAGTTTTATAGGAGTTCATCGAATCTATGTAACTGATATGTGCAAATCGACTGTGCATACTCAAATTCATGTTTTCTTGACTGCTTTCTAATGTCATTATATACTTCACGGTCAATTTTCTTTTCATAATCTTATAACTACTTGTATTGCATTTCCTCCGTCCAAAAGTATAGGGATTTCTAAAGTTCTTCACGGTGATTGATTTGTTGAAACGAGGAAGTAAGTGAAGAAGTTGCTATATTCTACGATAAATATTCAACGCTAAAAGTTTCTATATTTTGAAATGGAGGAAGTATTTTGGATGTAAAAACATGAAAGGGGATATCCACTCAATGGACCAGAATCCATCTTATGGTGGTCAATGAACCTATCTATATGTAATTACTAAACTGCTCAAATTGCTTCTGCGGTCTTTTTTTTTGTTGTTTTTTTTTCCTAACTAATGAAAATGAGGAACCGGAGTGCATACCGTCTGGTTCTAAAGAAAGCAAAGTGACTGCAGCCATTGGAGACAAATAAGCTCGTAATATCTAAGGAAAAAAAAAAGAAAAGCACTACTCATGTATTGCTAAAATTTACTTAGACCATGGAGCAAGCAGCTTCCTCATTGACCACGTACACGAAATGAATGTGGTAACTGGTAATCCACGAATTTGACGACGCACAGCAATTATTAATAGAAAAACAAATATGCTTACCTCATAATCTTTTCGACACATGTTGGGAGCTCTGACCAACCATACATATCAGAGTTTAAAAGAATCACACATTTCATCTCAGAGATGTCAATAATTTAGTAACCCAATTAACCCTCCACCTTGATTGAGAGGGCATCAAACCTTTCCATGTAGCTATGGAAAGGAAAAAAAAACATAGTTAATACCTGTTTGGAACGAGAGAAACTTTCTCGATTCCGACAGAAAATAAACTGGTTCCTACCAAATTACTACAGAAAGGAAAAAAGGACATCAAATTCCTGTGTTACCTGTAAACTGAGTCATGTCCACACTCAAATGCTCAATGCATGTTGGTTGAAACTTGAAAACAAACCTGTTTCAAAGAGAACCAGTGTAAACTAGAAGATCACACTGATTGACAATTTCACTGTTACAGCATCCTACAAGATCAATATTGCAAGCAATTCTCCCAGCATTAGACCAAAACATTAAACATTAAACATTAAACGACGCATGAGAACGACCTGGTGAAATTCTTCAGCATTTTTCACTTCAATTGGAGCCTGTTCACAAAATTGCACCCACAGGTACACAATATAGCGACATTTCGCTACCACTGTTCCCCAGACAAAACCAATATTCAACCACCTGAGTACTTAACTCGATCCCTTAAACTTCCGACGACGACAAGTTGTTTAACTTTAATTAGGTATAACCTAAATGAGGTGAAGCAAAAAAAAAAAAGATGACAGGTTCAACTTCCTAAATGATTCTGTTTGATCAGGAAAAAAGAAAAGGTGATTCAGGTCCCCTGCTGCTCATCATCGCTAAGCATCTCCGCAGCAGCGAGTATCATGTCCACCATTTCATATCTCATGCCTTGCAGCCCAGGATCATCCTTCCTATGGAGTTTCAGCATCCTTTTCTCATGCCGCGCCATCCCCTCCTTTGCTCTCTCTATCGCACATGATGAGCAGTACCATTTCCCCTTGGGTATTGAAGTTCGACGGGGTGTTATGCAGTAGAGATGATAAGCTTCATCACAGCCGTCACACAGAATGGTCAGGTCATCATCTCTGTCAGAATGGCAAACTCGGCAAAGGCACGATGGGCAGTACCAGCAGGGCTTGTCCAGCTGCTTGTCACTAGCGATCTGTGTAGCCTTCAGGCAAGAAATGTGGTAGTACTTATATAGACAATGGGTGTGACCACATACCAAGAATCTCTTGTCCTTCTCCTCGGGATTTCCACACATCTTGCATAAGCCCCTGACATCAATATCTGACAATTCCACATCCTCAACAGGCTCTGCACTGGGAATCACAATTGCTCTGGAGTTATCAGCAGGTGCCCTTTCACTGGCAGTTTCCTCACACCTTGGAGGCCTGCAAAACTCAAGGTCCTTGCATGCGACGCAATGTCCGTGCAAACGATTTGGTTCATAATGGACCAAGGCCATGCCAACTTCAGCTGATTCGTTACAGATGGTGCTGCAGGTTTTACAACACCAGCTTCCAGTTGAAGTGGATGGCACAGGAGGTTCAATGCATGAGACGTGGAATGCTAGCATGCATCTCTTGCATGTGAGGATGCTATCAATTTTCGCTACCTTGCCACATTCATTGCAGTTAGTACCGTTTTGTTCATCGCAAACATCCATTGGATCTGGTTGATCCAACTGGTTGAAGCCTTGTGAGGTTGAAAGTACCAATGCATTTGACTTGACCATGTTCATGGGTTCCAAATTGGTCGCCGCAGCTCCCTATATGTTGGTACAATAATATTGAGCAAAAGGCAGGCAAGGCATGACATAAACAGAAAAGGCAAAGAAATAGCCTAGCAACAGAATACTCACCTTCAGATTCTCTTCACTATCATCTGATCCCCTCTCTCTTTCAACCTAACGAATGTAATACAAGATTGTAGTGTCAAGAATAATGTCAGATGAACTATTTACAGAGAATATGAATCCAAAATTCAACGCAATTCTAATTCTAATTGAAACATAAAAAAAAAACTATAGGAGATTTCAAAAGGAAAGAAAAAATATAGAACATGAGAGCTATAAAAGATCTAGCCATAAAGTACTTGCCTGCTTTGTGTAGGACGTTTCTGTGAGGCTTGAAAGATTATTTGCTAGGTCAATGATATCTTGACCAGCCATTTTAAGATCTTCCCATAACTGCAACCATATCAAAACTATTTTATTCACCATTTATCACTACGAAAATGTTTTGAAAATTAATGAAATGACATGCAGCTCTCTTGACTTGTTCAAAAGAAAAAAAAAGGTTTAGAAAATAGATGCCTCGCATGATAAAATGCAAACTCAGTTTTGGTAAAAAAAAAAAAAGCTGATAAACACATGACTGAAATAAAAGGCATCATATATCTGAGATACAAACATAAGTCAGAGATAACTGGAGTGGAGTATATTCTAAAGTAGTGGGGTAACCATTTTCAAATCATGTTTGAATAATAATGGTGCACGGCCATAATCTCCATTTTTCATCCTTGAGTCAATCATGGTAAAATCAAAATACTTAGTCCTTTGCTCATCTTGATGGACAGTTCTGCCAAGCACATTGCACAATAAGGCAAAATTCTCTGACTTTAAAACATCCACAAGAACACTCTGACACTTAGCAATATTCCCATCACTTGACACTTTTCTGTTGGAATCCATTTCCACTTTGTCCCCAACCTGATAGGATAAAGAAAAATATTTTGAAGTCTGACAACAAAATGCAGTATCCTCTAAATAGATTATTAGAGTTGTCGATTTGCAGTGCTTCCATGATTCAAAGAACTACAGAAGAGAATTGCATGAAGAGAATGGGGTTGATACCTAATGTTCCATGCAACAAACATGCAATCAAGGATTCCCACTAGCCAATACATAGTTTGCAGCAAAGAAATACTGTGGGTTACCAACGGCATATTTGGTTATTTTACTAGCCTTACATAGCTTTTCTAGTGGGCAAGGAAAAACCTTGCTGGAGAGGAGAACCAAATTGGCATTCTATGAAAGGAAAACCTTGCTGACCTTGTCTAAAACCAAATCAAGGGAACAAAACAACCACCAACCTTACTATGAAAGAATGGGTAAGGAAGCCAAACATGACATAAATACTAATACAACACTAGAGGGAGAACCACTTCTTGGTGGGTGGTAGAGATGGGGTGGTGTGGGTGCATGGCGGTGCATCTGAATAGGCATCTTCCTAGTAAATTATAATCGCAAAAGAACGAATATTAGAGTATAACAAAAAATACTTACAGTTCCAAATTCAGCAGAACCGTAAAGAAGTACATCACGGATGCAACTCTGAATGCCAGGACCCTCTAGTGCACCTGGCAAATGCATCAGTCCATCTAAAACATATCGCCAGTGACTCCAACAGTCATATCTTTCAGTTTGCTTCTCAGATTTGTTTTTGCTACTATATAATCCATTTTCTTGAAGTCCCTGTACAATTAAATTTTTGATGAAAAAATAGTTTATTCCAAAGTATTGACCATGTACACCAAAGAAAATATTGCAAAAGAGAGGCATCAATGTAACTCCTTTTTATGTGTTTTAGTGACAAGATAAGGCAGTTAAATCAGTATCAGACTGAGTTTACTAGGATATGCAATGTTAATTCTCACATGATTTTGTACAAGCAAAATGTACAGGTAAAACTGATAAAAAAAGTTCAAGTACTAAAAAACTCTGCTACAGCCAAGAAGATGCTATAATTTGAAATTTGTACAAACATTTACATGAATCCTAGTCTAAGTCTGAATACAGGGCAAAGTTCTCCATCAGAAGAATCGAAGCATACAAATTTCTACAAAACAGCATGTAATTCATCAATCTGTTATGTGGTAATTGTCCAGTTCCTAGTTCTGAACTTCTGACAAAATGCATGACAAGAATAACAACAAGGACAGACCTGATAATTGTTGCTGTTCTGTGGAGGATGAGTGGTATTGCATACTGTGTTCAATGTGTTTGATTGTCTTTCAGCTTGATTAAAATCTTCAGAAGAACCTTTTCCCTGCATTACCTCAGCAAAATTCTCTTGATCAAACTGTAAACTCTCAGAAGAGCATGGCATGTTGCAACTGTCAATAACATCAAGATTCAATCTTCCTTCTTTCTGCTTCTCTCTTGATATCATTTTATCCCGAATAGTTTTAGCAACATCTTCTGGAACATTTAGGCATTGAGGACGATTCTGCCACCCAACAAGATGCCACTTCAATCTAGTTATGCCATGATAACCCTCTAAACTGCACCACTTGCACTTCCAATGGCCCTTCTCTTTGTCATGAATAAGCGAATGTTCCCATGCATTGTCCCTCAATCTTGTTGGGTAATTGGAAAGTACCTACAATTTCATACAGCGCACCTCTAAGTATGAAGTTAAATTGCAGCATGAATGTTGAAAGCGCCATGTGTAACATAGCACCGCAAACATAATGCAGTGCTCATTTGATGAAGTAATTATGGTACAAATAATGAATATAAAAGTAGTCAAAGATAGTATTTTATTCAAAGATAGTATTTTATTGAAGAGGCAAACTAATAAATGAAGAGAAACTTGGACATGAAACACATTGAATAAGCTTGTAGATTTGACTTAAAAAAAGGTTTCCTGTCCCAATTTATCAAGGAAGTCAGATGTGACTCTTAAGGAATCCCGTTTCCGAACTGAACAGGAATGGAGGATTTTTATTGATATAGTGTATTTACCACAAGTAGTAAAGACTAAAGTACAGCGGTATGCAAAGTATTTAATGGATGAGCATATGTCCCCAAGGGGAAAGAAGAAAGAAATGGACTGTAATGGATGATTGAATGTTATCAATTGCTACCTTCTAGTTCTGCTATTCAAATAAGAGGATACTGTAGGAGAGTAAATTGCATTCCAAATGGAACATTGCAGACTTTATGTGAGAGCACCGAAAGGCAAGATTTGATTTGCATACGTAAAAACAGAAGATAAGATCAAATGTTTGTTTATACTTTAGTTTGTGACAAAACTAAACGACAAAAGTAGCGCATCACACTACGACACTAGTAAACTATAGTGAAATAGACTATATAAAAATACACATCTGCAAAACTTACTAGTAAGCAGAACAAGGCTAAGCATTAATGGTACTAGATTAATGCATGTGCCAAAACAGGTATTCAAATTAAAAATATATTATATATACATGTAATGAACAATAAATATTTTTCGGTCATTCTTTGCCAATGGAAATTCAAAACTGAATTGTGTTCTTGACTTCGCTAAATGCCACGGGCTGGGTTAAATGCTTAGGAAAGCAGGTGTTGCCTTGTTGGCTTTCAATAAAACCGTATCTCTTCTAGAGATAACTAAGAGCCTAAGACAGAAATCTGATTGCTTATATTCTGATCATATAAAGGAGCTGCCTACTATGAGTTGTAACACCCTATGGCCCAAAATTCACTCATGTCCAGCCTCCATATGGGGGCAGGGGCCGATGGGCCACATGCGTAACACCTCACTGTTAGGCTTTTTTGTTTTCGTGAACACGCAGGAGACCCTGCACATCTTTTCATTAAGAAGAAGAAAAGTAATTACAAGAAAACAAAAACAACAAAAGTTCCAAAAGGCAAAAGCTACCAACAACCAATCTACCAAGACCCTTTGCCCCTACGACACACCACCAGGCACCCTCATTTGTAATTGACTGGACAACCAGGTTCACATTAGGAGAGACACCATTGAAGACATAGTCATTGCGATGTTTCCATATCTCCCAAGCTACAAGGATTACCAAAGAATTAAACTGTTTTCTTAAATCCTTGTCAACCAGCACTCCTGCGTATTCATGAAGAGGAAAAAAAAGCACTATTAGGTTTTCATTGTCACTTCACCCAAATTGGTTAATCGGGAAGCGCTACATCTTGGACCAACATTGATTATATGCTAGCGTAACTCGATGTATACTGGCAGTGTGGTTGGTATTACGGGATGCGATTTGGGAATTACAGTAGATTAAGGATAATGGGCAAACCATGTATGTCTTATTAATATTGTGGTATCAAACAAAATCATATGCAGATGCTACGCACACAACACACTTTGTGGGGTCTCTTGCGTATTCGAGAAAAAACAACTGGGTGGGGCTCCTAAAGTCGTCATATTATTCATTAGTAAAATTGTCACCAATAATACCCAGCTGTCGTTGCCCTTTGTTTCTTAAAGTATAGGACCTGTGATTATGGATTTCCCTTGTTGGTCTAATAAATCTCAGGACAATTTATACACCAAAATTCCAAAGGGTTTTCCATTTGATCTGCAGAGCACCCAACAAATGTGGACATTATCAGTGAAAATTAACTGATATCACTGCAAACCAACAAAATCCAAGGTGTAAACCATCTGGAGTAGAAGTAATTAAAAACACTTGTTTCAAGTTTTACCTTTGAGTTCTTTCACCTGGTTTTCCAGTTTCTATTACCAAACTGTCTCTACTTTGGCTTATCAATCATGCTGCTATGGAACTACTAAATTTTGGACAGACTCATGATCGATTTTAATCAGGATTTCAATTCTTTGTTGTGGCTAGTACTCTTATACATTTTTGTATTTTAGTACACTGGAAATACTGATCATTCTAAAGTTAGGCATATTTATTTATTTATTTTGAGGGAGGGGATCGTATTGTAATATTTCAATAGCAAAATCAATCAGTGAAGGATAGGGCTGAGTGCCCTCTGGTCGAGCAGGCTCATCCTGAATGGTCAGAAACTCTACTCGGCATGGATTCTGTTTGGGCAAAGCCCTTTTAATTATTATAGTGCTTAATTTCCCTAACACACTAAGGCACCTTTATATTACAGGTGTTGAAGGATAAAATTATAATTACTAAATGAATTAGGAACTATATCAATGACACAATAGGAAATAGATACTAAATATTGAATTCTTCAAGGCACTGCTGCCATGCGTGTACGCCTTTGATACTTACACCCATAATGCCAGTCCATAACACATTGATTTTCCTTAACGGAAGTTACCTAAAAATGAAGAGCGTAAATGGAAAAACATGGCACACAGTGTACCTTTCATGGGATTACAACCTCATTGTGTTGATCATATTAGCCTAGGTTGGCCAGATTTGCAAATAGAAATTACAGTTATTTGTGTATGATTGCTGCAACCAAGAATTTTATCTATGGCAGAAAGTTTCATCACAACATAAAGCCACAAACGGAATGCTTACACCTACCATTCTTTTGCATCTGAGACTAACAGATGGCCCTTTGACTCATTTCAAATTCAACCATTGTTACCTTAACGAGTACAGGCATTTCTTGACATAATAAACTGATGACAATGACATGACAGGAAAATAGAAGGACAGAACAGGAAGAATAGGATTAAAAAGGATACCCCACTGCAATCATTATTACTAGATGGTAGAGGAGGATTCTCTGGTACCGGATTGTTGTTCTGCTGTTGCTGACTCGATTGCCCAAGAATATGTGGCCTTGAACGAGCTTGTTGCCCAGCCTTTTTCACATTGAGCCTTCTCTTTAAGTGAATATGATGCCGTGCCTTTGCAAAAACTTCTTTTGGAACACTTGGGCACTTAGGATGTCGAAACACAGCAGCAAGATGAAAATGGAGCCTAGACGTTTTGCCATACCCATCCAAACCACAATATCTACACCTCCAATGCCTTGCAGATTCATCAACGATAACTATATGCTTCCTTATGTTAAACCTAGTTTTTTTAGGGTGTTTCAAGACCTACAAATAAGTGTAGAAGGTCAGAACACAGCATAATTTTTATGCATAACAGAAATATAGCTTACACATGTTACTTAACTGAAAACTAGAAAAAGGTAGTACCTCCCTCCAGAAATATAATAAAGCATATTAGTTTTGTTTGTTAATATAGAGCTTATTTCATATTCCGGTGCAAAATAAGTGCGGTTTTCCCTCTATACATCAAATAAATGTATATGCTTGAATGCATTTGACTTAGCGCTTATAGATAACAATTTATGGGGTAATCTACAGTTATTTTCAATGCCTATTTGGTCTATGAGAAAGACAAAAATATGCCTTGGAATTTTGGACAGAAGTACATGCTGTCATGGTAGAAAAAATGTATTGGAGAATACCCATCTTTTCCTGTAAATATTTTTGTCTATGACTGGCATATTATCTTTTTTGCATTTTTCAATTGTGGAGTATATCTTACAGTATACAACTTATGATGACACTCTAATTTTATTTTCTGCAAAAATCTAGAGAAGTCATAACAATTGCACTCAATATAAAGGTTCCACAAGTATTAGTCATAGCACAGAGCCTGTGAGGAAAAAAAATAATCCATAACTTGATTGTCAATAGCACAAACAGAACTGATACCTTTCTACAGGATTATGTTGTTTTTGTCAGGTTGAAGAAGGAAATTACCTCTTTGTGTTCCGGATTATCAGTTTTATTGTCCATAGTCTGCTGCTTATTATTGTCAAGTACTTGGCACCTTCCATGTTCCAAGGTGCAGTGCTCCTCAGGTTGATCGCTGCTTTTCATCAGCTGTTCACCATGGTTAAGTAGTTGGTTGCTATGTTCTGCACCCTGTTGGTTGCTTCCAGCTGCCACCTTTTCAAACTAAGTAAACCAAAATATGCAAGTAAGTTCCAATGCTAGAAAAACATTTGTCCAAAGAAGTGAGACAGCTATGGTACATTCTGAAGAAAGTGGGTGTGTCTGGTTTTATCCCCTTCTCGGTGTTTAACTTGCATGAAATTTCAAGTGTAGGTCTCCAGAAGTTATTAGAAAATTGGCTAAATGTAATGAGGATCATTTCTCTATGGCCCTGAAGCAAGATAAAGTAATTACAGTTGTATGGGATCCACAAAGATGTCTTGAGAACAATTTTAACTGTTTTGGCTCTATTTATCTTGCCTGTCAAATTCCATATCTTTTATTGCGTCAATAATGAATATTTCCACTCAAATCAGTATTAACATAGGAAATGGTGGGTGCCCTAACAGAATATGAAGCCAGTGGCAACCCTCATTGACTTGAGATGGATGTTTGCATTATGAGTGGATGTTTCAATACTGTGCAAGGTGTGATTATCGGTGAACAACTGATAATCACTGCCTTGGGCTGTGATGAATCTGAAATAAATTTACTGCATCTAAAGTAACATACTCAATAAGGGAGGGAACACCCTAAAGAAAAGGATATGGGATGAATAAGACCATAATACCTCATTAATGGTGCACTCTGATGTTTGTATATGCAAGGAATTTCCTAAAGGTTGTCGATCATCTGTCAATGGTGGAGTACCTTCCACCTGTATTTCTGAGAGATTAACTGCATCCTCGTCAAATTTGACATTGAAAGGAGATTTTGCAGCGCTATTAAAAAGATGGCGTGCTGCCCTTTTCTCTTCAATAAAGTTCAACACTTTTTTTGATATTTCCTTAGGAATATTTGGGCAACTACTATCAGTAAGATGAGCCTTCAATGTAGTTACACCACCACTTCGACATAAAGAACACCACTTGCACTTCCATCGTCTTTTATTTCCATCAAGATCCACTGCATGCTCCCACCCAATATCTCTTATCCCTCGTAACAACATGGTAGCCTGCAAATCAATGTAAACTTTGAATTTGAATCCATACAATATAATTGGTAGTTTATTACTGCTCAGAATAAACCAAAAAAATGTAGGATATAAATATTTAGTGAACAATTACAGTACTAGGGCACAAGTTACGTGTGAAAGGTTTATAGTTAGCAGTTAATGACATGTGATTTTGCTAGTCTTTAAGGATAATAAGTTAAGAATTCACAAAGTCAAGAGATATGAACTCATACTTTAGTGACTATGTTGTTTTCACACATGATGGCCTTGCAGTCTCTATGAAATTATTTTTCTAAGTTCACTTTTCAGGGATCAAATATCTTTGCTATGACAGCTGCATAAGTACTAGATTTTGCTGAATTAACTACTCCGTCCGTTTCACAATGTAAGACTTTCTAGCATTATCCACACTCATATAGATGTTAATGAATCTAGATGCACATATGAATATAGATTCATTAGTATCTATATGAATGTGGGCGATGCTAGAAAGTCTCACATTGTGAAACGGAGGAAGTACATAAGTTAGTAGGTACTGAAGCATATACATAATACATTTCAAGTCCACAGGTGTATGATTGCTTACACTAATCAAACAGATGGCAACTAAAATACTCCAGATGATGTTTTTTGTAGAGATCACACTGAGTAGAAAATGAAATAGAGAAAAAAAAGTACCACTTTGTATACCTTGGGATAAGTAAGATCCTGATTATCATGGTTCGTTTGGTTAGTAACTTCTTCAAGAACAGTGTCTACTCCAGTCAGCACCTCTGAATCAACGGGTAAAGGATCTTTGCCAGACTTGATATCATCAGAGGTGCTCTTAGCCGTCACACAGTTATCACGATTTTGTGCAGCTCGCTTCTTTCGCCTTTCTCTTTTCTTCCGCAAATGCTCCCTTATTTTTTCAGAGACGTCAGCTGGAACTTTTGGGCACATTTTGACATCCAGATCACCAGCAAGATGCCGCTTAAGTCTAGAGACACCACCACCATATCTAGTCAGGTGACAATACATGCACTTCCAGTGTTGTCTGTTCTCGTCGATCATTATGCCATGCTTCCATCCAATGTCCCTACTTTTCCAAAATGTTTCAGTCACCTGCAAAATCAAAAAAATTAAAGAGTGGTATGGTAGTCATGATATTAACTTATTCTGCACTATAAACACAAATTTCAGTGGATATGCCAAGCCATAATAACTTAATGTCCTGAAATAGAATGTATAGCACAAGGGAAACAGCAATTGGTAAAGAAACAAGTTACGGAAATTTTACAGTTGACAAAGTAAAGGTATACTTCCAACAAAGTTTTGTTTCAGAAAATGTTCTACCCAACATTATTTTGCTGGAAACCTAATTGGCAAAATACCACTCAAGATTCTAACATGACAAAATCAATTTACCACTCATATTTCAACATTAACATAGTATTCGCAAGTTGTAACATTATTATGCTCAAATTTCTATGTGAGTTTACGACATTCTGTAACTAAAAAGTTAAAAATTGCATGCCGTTATATCACGTGAGACTTTTGCCTCTTGACTCAGAACCTCTTTTCCATTTGTGATGCTAATGAAGAGAGTGCAATTGAAACTAGATAGAGTTACCCCATAAACGTTGATACGAGGAATTTCAACATGTCTACGAAGTCATTTAAAAACAAATAGAACTCAACAGAGCAGAAAACTAGGAAGCAATATAGTTATTCAAAAAATGCAGATTGAAAACTAAGAAATACCAAATATCTTACTGGAATAAGATATTGAGTATTTTCAGGTTTCCTTCCTTTGAATATTGCTACTTGTTAGAAGAAAAGCATTATCCATAAGAGATGAAACTTTGGGAGCAGCTAGATCTAGAGGGAAGCTGTGAGCACTATATTTGCACATTACCTCAAAACCAAGATTAGCAGGGTTGTCAACCAAAAAAAAAAGTGAGAAAATCCATGAACGCTCTACTGTGCCCTTTTCACATGGTACACAAAACCCATGCGAAGAAGACCAAAGCAAGAACAATTGCGAGTAGGGAAAATATCAAATATAGTGCACTAGAACTCCAAGTTATGAACCTGAATCCATTAGTATGGAACATTGTCTTTTGTAAGTAAAAACTCCCAGTATCTGAAAGAATGAAGTGGTGCTTCGAGTCTCTATGACAAAAACTAAAACACTCAACAGAAGAGAAGATTGGAAAGCAATATAGTTCTTCAATAAAAAAAGGGTGATTCACAAAATCAAATAAGTGAATTGTCTAAAAAATACTTAAGTCTTACAGGAGTTGACAGTTGTGGGATTCACAAATGCATTGTAGAAGATGAAACCCATAGAACTTATGGATGAGAAAAAAACATATACAGTTTGGTAAACAGGACCAAGTAACCCAAAACATAAGCATTCCATGTTTGCACCACAGTATGCCTTTTCTTAACGAAAGATAGAGGATGTGCCCTCCAAAATATTCTGTCCTGTTTATAATTTAATAAATATCAAAAGTGAACATAAATTCCCAGAGGAGAATTATGTACATTCCTTTCTAGAATGAACTGACATGAATGACTATAAAAATGCTAATGGCAGAACATTATCTATATTTATTCACTTGTTTCATCACATAATTTGAACACAACATACCGACAACTAAGTAATGAATTATTGCTCTACGCACTCATAATAAATCTTTGCCATTTCTTCCAGACTGCAAAATAAAAGCATTACTACTACAATTTTTTTTTTGTCATGCAAGTACAAGATCCTAATTTCCTAGCCACATATCGCCAGGTGCAGAATTAAGCTATTCCAAGCATCTAACAATCCCATGCTATCATTCCATTCTATTATACTACAAAAAAGAAACAGAGATTTTAGCAAGTCCACAAGCTACAAAACACTAACATCTAGCACATCACACCAATGAAACAGTTTTAGATTAACTTTTTCAACGCAATTCTCAGACTAATAACTTTTCAATGCAACAAACAGGCACTTTCAGAGTTCTTCCCCCAAGGATTATACCTGCCGTGCCAGAACATCTGCAGCCTTGGCCTCTGCCTCTGCCTCTGCCTCTGCCTCTGGCTGTGGCTGTGGCTGTGGCTGTGGCTGTGGCTGTTGCTGTGGTTCCGGCTCTGACTGCGGCTGCGGCTGCGGTTGCTGTTGCGGCTCCGGCCGTGGCTGCCGGCGCCTCTTGTAGGTTCGGAAAGCTTCCTGGGGAGAGGAATCCCTGAAATGCACCTTCCCATTCCCTTTATCCTTGTCAACACCATCCATCTTCCACAGCCAGGGTTTCGGCCAAGAAACCTGCAGAACAAAACAACCAAAAAAAAAATCCTCAGAACAAAACATCCCAAGCAAAAGCAAGAACCGTGGAAAAATACTCCAATTCTCCACCCAAGAATCCTAACCGGATAGATTCGAACCTCTTCCCCCTCGACAAAAACTAAAATCAATCACCAAGGAAGCTCAAAATTTTGGGGAGGGAGAAAAACGCGGTCAAAACAGCAAGAAAACAGCGGAAAGAAGACGCAGCTTTCTCGAGTCCTACCGAAGATTGATTGCCCCGGAGGCCGATTCGGGGAGTAATGGCGGATGGAGTCGGAATTCTAGCACAAGTAGACGGCGCGAGGTGGGGGGAGGCGAAACGAAAACCTGCAGGAGAAGGGGAGGAGAGGAGAGGCTGTATGGGATACAGAAGAGAGGAGAGGAAGGGAGTAGTCTGACAAAAATCCGGCACTTCTTTGGTGTGAGAGTTTACTTGTTCTCTCTCTCTCTCTACTGCTGCTTCTCTCTTGCCTTTCTCCTGCTTTGCTTTTGAGCCCAAAAAAACCAAAAGAGCCCTCTTTTATTAACCCTTCACCTCTCTACCAAAAAAAAAGCTCCCTCTTTTCAGCTGCAAGTTATTGTTTCTACTCCTAAGATGTTCTTATCTCTCTCATGGAAAGTTTCTTTTTTTTTTCTTTTTTGGTTTCATTCACAAGTTTTATCTTGAAATTTTTCGATTGTAGTTTAGGAAGGAGCAGAAGGAAGGGAAAAAATGTTCTTTTTTTTTCTGGAAGTAACTGAAAGGTTTTGAATGCTGCAGACACTGGTGCCAGGTGGTGATGCATCCAGTGGTATTAAGGATTTGTTCTCTAGCAAAGGATTTCTGCCTATTTGGTCATGGCCCCTTCCACAGCATCGATTTGCAGGAAGAAATGAATGAGTTGAATGATGCAGCATTTTTGTCTTGCCATATATCAGGCTATCAGTAGTGATGTAATCACTACTTCTGACTTCTGGAGGATACATAGGTGAGAGAGAAAGATTAGGAATCCATACCATTCTTTCTTTCTTTCTGTTTTCCCTTGTGTTGGATTCGGGATTCAGGAATGGTAACTTCTGAGCTCTGAAAGGCTGCTAAATTTGGTTCAGAGAACCACTGCATTATCTAATCACAAGAGGGTAGGAGTACTTAATTCCTGTGCTAATTGCATTCTCTTATTGTTATGGAGAAGATTCCCACTGCTATTGTGTTGGAATTAATGAATGGGTCTTAGCCCACTCGAAGATTAATTCTTTGGAAAATCACAAAAGCCCACCTCATGGGATGGCATGCATGTGGAGTTTAGTACCACCTTGCTTATTCTAGGAGAGGGGGACCTCCTTAAAAGGGAGGATGCCCTCCTAGCCACTTGAAGCATGTGTGGTGGAGAGAAGAGGGGAAACACACGCGCGCGCTCGCTCGCCTCGCCTCGCCTGGCCTGGGCAGGGCAGGGCAGGGCAGGGCAGGCGGCGCAATGGTCCGAAAAATTGGCTCCTCACCCTTGCGCAGATGCAGCCTCTTTTTGCAGTTTTGTTTTGCTGCAAATTCGGATTCGTTTTTGTTTTGGAAACGTTCCGAAAAATCCGATGCGTGCAAACGGCGTGGAGTCCGGATAAGTTACGCGCGACTTATCCGGTTCGGTTACGCGCAGTAGAGATCGTGCGGGCGCCCTGATCAAGCGACCTTTCTCTATATAAACCGACCCGCCGTCTTCACGCAATATATGCGAAAATCAATCTAGGGTTTGCCTCCTACTCTGTACTGCGCCGTCGCTCGTAGACTACTCCATCCCGCTCGCCGGCGTGCACCAGCGATCGGGAGAGCAGGTCTCCGGAACCTCTGCCTTTGACGTCCTGCACCGGGAGAAGGCGGCAATAAGGTTTTTGGGAAGCGCTTCGCGCGACTGCTCCCTGTTCGTTCGCGACGGCTCGCCTTCCTCTTCGCTCGCGTGTTTCGTGCCTTCGTAGACACCTGCGAAAAGTTTCGACCAAGCAGCCGGTCTTTTCGTCACCTCGGTACGTGTTCAATATGTTGCGCATATTTGATCTGTTCATGTTATTCTGCGTAGTTTACATGTGTAGATCTAATGATGCGTTCATGCTAGTTTTCATCTGTAATGTCATGACTTATTTATGGAATAAATTAAATCATTATATGCCCATAATCTCAACAATCCAAAAACCTTATTATAGGCACTGTGATTTTACTATGGCTGGTTTTGCCGATGCACTGAGGCCGGATAAATTCACCGGTGTGCATTTTAAGAGATGGCAGATCAGGGTCACTCTGTGGCTGACAGCTATGAAATGCTTCTGGGTGAGTACTGGCAAACCTGAAGGAGTTCTTACTGCTGAACAGCAGAAGCAATTCGAGGAAGCCACTACTCTCTTTGTGGGATGCATTCTTAGCGTTCTTGGCGATCGTCTGGTCGAGGTGTATATGCATATGACCGACGCTAAGGAGTTGTGGGATGCACTGAATACTAAATTCGGTGCTACTGATGCTAGCAATGATCTGTATATCATGGAGCAGTTTCATGACTACAAAATGGCTGACAACCGTTCTGTAGTCGAACAGGCTCATGAGATACAAACCATGGCTAAGGAACTCGAACTCCTTAAGTGTGTCTTACCCGACAAATTTGTGGCCGGGTGCATTATTGCAAAACTACCTCCATCTTGGAGGAGTTTCGGTACTGCACTCAAACACAAGAGACAGGAATACTCCGTTGAGGGGTTGATTGCGTCTCTTGATGTTGAGGAGAAAGCTCGGGAAAAAGATGCCGCGTCTAAGGGCGATGGTGGGCAGTCCAGTGCCAATGTTGTGCACAAGGCCCAGAACAAGAGCAAGGGGAAATACAAAGCTCAGCAGACCACCAACTTCAAGAAGCAGAAGAAGAACAACAACAATCCTAATCAGGATGAGAGGACTTGCTTTGTGTGTGGCCAAGTTGGTCATCTGGCTAGGAAGTGTCCACAACGCAAGGGGATGAAGGCACCTGCAGGGCAGACTTCTAAGTCTGCTAATGTGACCATTGGCAACACTGGAGATGGAAGCGGGTATGGTAATTTACCTACTGTTTTTTCAGTTAATCAATCTACTAATTGGTGGGTTGATACTGGGGCCAATGTACATGTTTGTGCTGACATCTCATTGTTTTCTTCTTATCAGGTCGCACGGGGTTCCACCGTCCTAATGGGGAATGGGTCACATGCTTCTGTTCATGGTGTTGGCACGGTAGATCTGAAGTTTACTTCGGGAAAGATCGTGCAGCTGAAGAACGTGCAGCATGTCCCTTCTATCGACAGGAATCTTGTTAGTGGCTCCCGTCTGACTAGAGACGGATTTAAGTTGGTTTTTGAGTCTAATAAAGTAGTCGTGTCTAAACATGGATATTTTATTGGTAAAGGTTATGAGTGCGGAGGCCTGTTCCGCTTTTCCCTTTCTGATTTCTGCAATAAGTCTGTGAACCATATTTGTGGCAGTGTGGATGATGAGGCTAATGTTTGGCATTCACGTTTATGTCATATTAATTTTGGCTTGATGTCTCGGCTTTCCAGCATGTGTTTAATTCCTAAGTTTTCCATTGTCAAAGGTTCTAAGTGCCATAGTTGTGTGCAATCGAAGCAACCTCGCAAGCCTCACAAGGCTGCCGAGGAGAGAAACTTGGCACCACTAGAACTCCTACATTCAGATCTTTGTGAAATGAATGGGGTGTTGACGAAGGGTGGAAAACGATATTTCATGACATTGATTGATGATGCTACTAGATTTTGCTATGTGTACTTGTTGAAAACGAAAGACGAGGCTCTAGACTATTTTAAAATTTATAAGGCAGAGGTTGAAAATCAACTTGACAGAAAGATAAAAAGGCTTAGGTCTGATCGTGGTGGAGAGTTTTTCTCGAACGAGTTTGACTTATTCTGTGAGGAACATGGCATCATACATGAGAGGACGCCTCCCTATTCTCCCGAGTCTAATGGGATTGCTGAAAGGAAGAACCGCACACTGACTGACTTGGTGAATGCCATGTTGGATACCGCGGGACTGCCTAAGGCATGGTGGGGGGAGGCATTGTTGACCTCAAATCATGTGTTAAACAGAGTTCCTAACAGAAATAAGGACAAAACACCATATGAGATATGGATTGGTAGAAAACCATCACTTTCTTATTTGCGCACATGGGGGTGCTTGGCGAAAGTCAATGTACCAATAACGAAGAAGCGCAAACTTGGACCTAAGACTGTGGACTGTGTTTTTCTGGGATATGCTCATCATAGCATTGCCTATAGATTTTTAATAGTTAAATCCGAGGTACCGGACATGCATGTTGGTACAATTATGGAGTCTCGTGATGCTACCTTCTTTGAGAGCTTTTTCCCAATGAAGGATACACATAGTGGTTCGAACCAACCCTCTGAAATAATTCCCAGTTCAATCACACCACCAGAACAAACTGAACATACACATGAACTTGTCTCTGAGGAGGATGTCAGTGAAGCTCCTCGAAGGAGTAAGAGACAAAGGACGGCTAAGTCTTTTGGTGATGATTTCACTGTGTACCTCGTGGATGACACTCCTAAGTCAATTTCAGAAGCATATGCATCTCCTGATGCAGACTACTGGAAGGAGGCTGTCCGTAGTGAAATGGATTCCATTATCGCTAACGGGACTTGGGAGGTGACAGAGCGACCCTATGGGTGTAAACCTGTGGGGTGCAAGTGGGTGTTCAAGAAGAAGCTTAGGCCTGACGGTACTATTGAAAAGTACAAGGCTCGGCTTGTTGCTAAGGGCTATACTCAGAAAGAAGGCGAAGATTTCTTTGACACTTACTCACCTGTTGCTAGATTGACCACAATTCGTGTGCTACTTTCCCTAGCAGCCTCACATGGTCTTCTCGTTCATCAAATGGACGTTAAGACAGCTTTTCTTAATGGAGAGCTGGATGAGGAGATCTATATGGATCAACCTGATGGGTTTGTACTTGAAGGTCAAGAAGGCAAAGTGTGCAAATTGTTGAAGTCTTTGTATGGTCTGAAACAAGCTCCTAAGCAATGGCATGAGAAATTTGACAAAACATTGACGTCTGCAGGCTTTGCAGTCAATGAGGCAGATAAATGTGTGTACTATCGCCATGGTGGGGGTGAGGGAGTTATTTTGTGCTTGTATGTTGACGACATACTGATATTTGGGACAAACATTGAGGTGATAAATGAGGTTAAATCATTCTTGTCTCAAAATTTTGATATGAAAGATTTGGGAGTAGCTGATGTTATTTTAAACATTAAGCTAATTAGAGGTGAGAATGGGATTACACTCTTGCAGTCTCATTATGTGGAGAAGATCTTGAATCGCTTTGGCTACATTGATAGTAAGCCTTCTCCAACACCTTATGATCCTAGCTTGTCGCTTCGCAAGAACAAGAGAATTGCTAGGAATCAACTGGAATACTCCCAAATCATTGGCTCGTTGATGTACCTGGCTAGTGCAACTAGGCCTGATATCTCCTTTGCTGTGAGCAAGTTGAGCCGATTTA